GTAAATGCCACGTGTTGTGATCTTAACGACTCTGAATATAACTCCTTCACCTTAAAGGGCATCTGGAACGTTGCCTTCTTTTTTTTGTTTTGTCAACAAGGATTAGGAATGTTGAGTACTACTTACTGTTTCTTCTATTCAATAGATACGTAAACACACTCGGGAACTCTTTTTTGTAAACCTTTGTAAACCTTTTCTAAAATTTATTTCAATAGATACGTAAACACACTCGGGAACTCTTTTTTTCTTTCAGACTTTTTATTTGCTCATTCTTTTTGTTTTTAATTATTTTCAATTTAAATTGGTAACTGTAGTTACTAATTTGACTGGATCATTCACATTGGATTGGTGAAAAAATCAGTACACTAACCCAAAACAATTCATGTGATAGACTGAGACTGATGCTCTAATATGTCTACGGACATGATTTTTGATGTTTCGAGATTTAAGTAAAATCAAATACTATGGCCATCCTCATCCGACAGGTCGAATCTCACCGGGCATCTTAGAATAAAGGAAACGTGCTAAAAAAAAATTAGTGAAAGAGGACCGGACCGGTGGTCCTCAACCGACAACCGCGACAAACATTTCTGAGATTTTCTCCTCTTATTTGTCATCTTGTAATTGGTTCAAATTATCTTTTTATCATGTAAAAATTTAATTATTTAGTTAAATTATATTAAAACAATTAATATTTTATGTTTGAGATATTTTCAGGCTATGAATGGAGACGGTAATGCGGATTGCGGGGCGTTTATTGAGCTTTTTCTGATACACTTTTTGTGTTGCTGTTCATGATGATCCATGAAAAAACATAAAAAGAAACATTTTCTCATAATTATATTTTTGAATTAAATTTTAACTTTTGGAAAAGAATTGAGCAAATAGAAATTGACATATGTGATATATGGGGTTTCACTCACTTTTCATTATTTTCATTTATTTTAGAGAAAATTACCTAATATAACCTCTTTTTTATAAGAAATAGCTATAATAACCTATTTATATTTTTATTACTCATATAACCTATTAATCATTTAAGCAGTGATGTATAATTCCAGTTTTATCCTTTTAACTATAATTATTTCTTTAATTTCGTTTTTGTAAATTACACATAACTATTCATTTAATTTGAACAATAACAAATTAGTTTTAGTTAATAAATAAATAAAAGAAAAATAAAATAAGAAATAAATAACTTTTAATTTCAAATCAATTGATTATTTTTATTTTATCAAATTTCATGGCAATGTATATTTGGTCTAACAGCAATTTTTTTTGTCGAACTCAATTTTTTCATTTATGGTATTTATCATTGAAATTGATTCTCTATCCATTCTACTTCTTTTCATTTTTGTTTCTTTTGCACATTTATAAAATGTTTGACTATATGAGATTTCAGTTTGTAACTTTTTCTGAATTTTGCGAGAAAATATTTCATCAACTAAAATCCAATATTAACAAAACAACACAGAAAAATATCATATTAGAAGATTAAAATTCAATTATAGTGATAATTTTAGAAGACTATGGTGTAGTTTGCCAAAACTCATAGTCTTAAAAAATATGTAAAATCTATCAAAAATATATTGAATATGCTAATAAAATAGCAAACTAACAGTGTAAAATTCAAGTCTATCAAAAATATGTAGTATTCATAAAAAAATTAGAAGATTAGCATATTGAAATTTGAATATGCTAGTAAATTTGAAAGACTTTGATGTAATCTGCCAAATCTCAACAATGTCTACAAAAAATTATGCAGAGTCTACCAAATACATGTTGAGTCTGCTAATTAAATAGCAGATTAGCAGAGTAAAAGTCAAATTTACCAAAAATATGCAGAATCCACCAAAAAGTAGAAGATTCGCAGATTAAAATCCAAGTCTGCTAATATATTTGGAAGACTTTAATGTAATTTGTCAAAACTCGACAAAGTCTACAAAGAATATGTAGAGTCTGCCAATAAAATAGCAGACTAGCAAAGTAAAATTTAAGTCTACCAAAAATACGCATAATCCACCAAAAAAATGGAAGACTAGCAGTTTAAAATTCAAGTCTGCGAGTAAATTTGGAAGACTTTGACGTAGTCTGCCAAAACCTCAACAAAGTCTACAAAGAATACGTAGAGTCTGCCAATAAAATAGTAGACTAGCAAAGTAAAATTTAAATCTACCAAAAATATGCAGAATCCACCAAAAAAATGGAAGACTAGCAGTTTAAAATTCAAGTCTGCCAGTAAATTTGGAAGACTTTGACGTAGTCTGCCAAAACCTCAACAAAGTCTACAAAGAATACGTAGAGTCTGCCAATAAAATAGTAGACTAGCAAAGTAAAATTTAAATCTACCAAAAATACGCAGAATCCACCAAAAAAATGGAAGACTAGCAATTTAAAATCCGAGTCTGCTAGTAAATTTTGGAAGACTTTGGTATACTCTACCAAACCTTGACAGAGTCTACAAAAAAGACGCAGAATCTACCAAAAATATGTAGTGTCTGCTAACAAAATAACAGATTAGCAGACTGAAATTTAAATCTACTAAAAATATGCAGAATCCACAAAAAAATGGAAGATCAGCAGAATAAAATCCGAGTCTGCTAGTAAATTTGGAAGATTTTGGTATAGTTTGTCAAAGCTTGACAGAGTCTACGAAAAAATATATAGAGTCTACCAAAAATACGTTGAGTCTGCCAAAAAAATAGCAGACTAGCAAAAGAAAATCCGAGTCTGCGAGTAAGTTTGGAAGACTTTAAAAGGATAATTGTGTAAATTTTTTTATAAAATCTTCAAAATTCTTGATAGGCTATTTTGGCTATTTACAATATTTTGTGGGTTATTATAGCAAATCACCCTTTATTTTACTTGAGAAATAATGGTAAGATCATCTTCAACTCTTCCTATAATTGCCTTTTCTCTCGAATTCGTTTCTCCAGTTGACTAAAAAATATGAGAATGTTATTTTTTCCTCAATTTTTGAGTTGAACTTTTTTTACATAATATCCTTCAATTTTTAATTATTTTTGTTTATAACTTAAATAAATAATAAAATTATTCATTTTCTCATTTCTAACTACAATTAATTATGGAACATTATTTTACAAAATAACTAAGTTCTATTACATAATTGATTAACAGTTTAAGTCAACTAATAACATAATTTATTGTTTTTTGTAAAGAAAATTATTTGAGTCAATTTGTAAAAATTATAAATAAAATGTATTTTGTAATAAAAATACATTTAGAATATTATTTTTTAGAATCACAAACAAATGAATACATTGGAGAGAAACACTTTTCTATTTATGAAATCTTCTTAAATAGAGAAATACGTTCATTTGGAATGATCCTTGGATCGAAAGAAAGCCGACAAAACCCATATGGAGAACTGCATGGCCACGCCATCATGTACCACCTTATGCCTCCACGGAACTAATGACATCGGATGGTAGAGAGTGGAATGAAGAGAAACTTAGAGAAATATTTGATGACGAGGATATGTCACGAATCAGGGAAACAAGATCTGGTTGAGCATACAGTCAAGATTGTTTCAGTTGGGATTATACTAAATCAGGTTAATACACCTTTAAGTCAGGGTATTGGGTTCAAACGAACATCACTAGAGATGTGCCTCAACCAGTCACCCAGCAAAGCCTGGATGCACTCTTCCAACTAGCCTGGAAAACGGATGCCAGCTGTTCTAAAATGCAGCATTTTCTTTGGCGTTGTCTGACCTTGCCGTAACGTATAATCTAAAAAAAGGCACATTTCTGAAAGACTCACAATGCATCAGATGTCAAGCAGGAGAAGAAGTTGTAAACCATCTCCTCTTTCAGTGCCTATTTTGCCAGATTAGTGTGGGCACTTTCAAACTTTCCAGTCCCACCTCAAGGAATCATGTCAAACTTGCAGTATAGCAATATATATATAGAGTGCTGATTGTGAACGAAAATTATTCTCATGTAGCTGAACTGGAAAGCTTTGAACCATGGTTAATGTGGAGGTTATGGAAGAATATGAATGACCCGAGCATTAAAGGTGTGGAATATATGATGCCCTGGAAACTGTGCATAATGGGAAGGAAAATATGTACGAGTGGCTAAAGAGGAAACACAATGATAACACTCTAGGAAAGAACCATGCCGCAACACCAAAAGCTCCGCGCATAAAATGGAACCCTCCACATGAAGGCTGGCTCAAGTGTAATGTGGACGGTGCCTGGTCACAACAATAACCAATGTGGGATTGGCTGGATCCTGAGTAATATTGAAGGCAAAGTACTATGAATGGGTGCAAGGAAGTATCACATGATGAATTAATTTGGCATCGGAAATACAGATTGAAGTACTAAGATGGGCGGTCCAAGTTTTAACTATATTCACGTCATCTTCTTCGAAACAGACTCCAAACAAGTCCTTGAAGTGATCTCCAATGAAGACGAATGGCCTACTTTCAGAGTAAAAACACAAGATATCAACCATATGCTATCAACTGTGTGAAGCCATCATGTACTTTTCCAATGTTGCAGATAGAATAGTGAAGGAATCACTTTTATTTTATAAATCTTGTCCCTAAGATGTATTCTATTACGCCGGTTTGGTTAAATACTTGAGTAACCTATTCTTTTATGATTTGGTTTAATATAGTGTTATGTTTGAGTAAAAAAAATAAACAGAGAAATACAGTACATTGGAGATGTAGAATAATCAAGAGTGTAACCTATTGAAGAATCAATCAGTTTCTTTTCAAGCATTCCCTTCTTCTTACTGTTTTTCTTTTCTAAGCCCACAACTATATTTATTTTTTGATTTGGACCTCTACTTATCTTCAATAGGTTCTTTACCCTTTCTGATGATGAAGCTTTCATCTTCAATTTCAAAATCCCATTGTTCCGTTGCTGAACTTTGGAAACACTACAAATTGAGTGAGCTTTCTGTTACCTGAGAATTTAGTAGCTGAATTTGTAAAGGAGCTTCGCTTGCCACAGTTTGTTTAATTTGATGTTGAATTTGAGGATTAATCGGCTTCTTCGTAAACCCTCCTTAATCCGATTTTCAGCTTTTCCAATTTCTAATGGCGAAGCTGATCCATCTTTCTCGACATCCTCGTCGGAAAATCCTGGCTTCAATCATGGCCCGGAGAAAGAAGGAGTTTCTTCTGAAGAAGATGACCAGTTATTGAAAAAATTCAATCAACTGGGTTTCGGAAAATCACCGGCTTTGAATACTACGAGCGTTAGTGAAGCTGAAGATGGAGAAATTCGAAACCCTAGGTTCAATAGGTTTGACGAGATAGACGAATTGGGAGAAGAAGATGACGACGACGATGGCGATGACGATGACGATGACGGAAATGGAAGAAGCGACGACGAGCGGGACGATGATTTTGCAGTTCTGGAATCGTTTGGGAAAATCCCACCACAATCGAGAGAGGACGTTAGTAGATTCGATGTGGAAGAAGACGAATCTAGGCATCCACTGGTGAGAGAGATAACTAGATTGATTGGCCTCAGGTCATCTTGGAACCCAAAGCATGAAGGCCAGATGAGGAATCTTCTAAGGAGCCTTAAACCATCACAAGTCTGCGCCGTTTTACGCTCACAAGACGACGAACGTGTTGCTCTAAAGTTCTTCTACTGGGCGGATCGTCAATGGCGGTATCGCCATGACCCTGTGGTGTACTACTCGATGCTCGAGGTTCTTAGTAAGACTAAGCTGTGTCAAGGCGCTAGAAGAGTCCTCCTTCTGATGAAGCGTAGAGGTATACACCGAACTCCTAAAGCGTTTTCGCTTGTGATGGTATCGTATAGTAGGGCAGGTCAGCTGAGAGACTCGTTGAAGGTGTTGAATATAATGCAGAGAGCTGGTGTTGAACCTAACTTGTTGATTTGCAATACAGCTATTGACGTTTTCGTGAGAGCGAATAGGTTGGAGAAGGCTTTACTGTTTGTAGAACGTATGCAGGTTGTTGGTATAACGCCAGATGTGGTGACTTATAACTGTATGATCAGAGGGTATTGTGACTTGCAACGAGTGGAGGAAGCAATTGAGATGCTAGAGGAAATAGCTCGTAAAGGATGTTTGCCGGATAAAGTTAGTTACTATACTATAATGGGGTTTCTTTGTAAAGAGAACCGGGTTGTGGAAGTGAGGAGCTTGATGAAGAAAATGGCGGAAGAGCATGGTTTGGTGCCGGATCAGCTCACTTACAACACTCTGATTCATATGCTCACAAAGCATGGTCATGCCGATGAGGCTCTTTGGTTTCTGAAGGATGCTGAAGAGAAAGGCTTTCGGATTGATAAGGTTGGTTATAGTGCGGTTGTTCATGCACTGTGCAAAGAAGGAAGAATGTCTGAGGCAAAAGATCTCATTAACGAAATGCTGTCAAAGGGGCATTGCCCTCCAGATGTGGTAACTTACACTGCTGTTGTCAATGGCTTCTGCCGTTTGGGTGAGGTGGATAAAGCCAAGAAGCTGCTTCAGGTTATGCACACACATGGGTATAAACCAAATACTGTGTCCTACACAGCTCTGTTGAATGGGATGTGCCGAACGGGGAACTCGTTAGAGGCAAGAGAAATGATGAACATGAGCGAAGAGCAATGGTGGAGTCCAAATTCTATTACTTATAGCGTACTTATGCATGGGTTACGTAGGGAGGGGAAATTGTCTGAGGCCTGTGATGTGGTTAGAGAGATGATACTAAAAGGTTTTTTCCCTGGCCCAGTTGAAATTAACCTTTTGCTTCAGAGTCTTTGCCGGGATGGGAAAACACACGAGGCCAGAAAATTCATGGAGGAGTGTATGAACAAGGGTTGTGCTATCAATGTTGTGAATTTCACCACGGTGATTCATGGTTTTTGTCAGAACGATGAGGTAGACGCTGCTCTCTCCGTGCTTGATGACATGTATCTGATCAACAAACACGCAGATGTCTTCACATATACTACTTTAGTTGATGCATTGGGGAAAAAAGGTAGAATAGCAGAAGCAACAGAACTTATAAAGAAGATGCTTCATAAAGGTATAGATCCTACTCCTGTTACATACAGGACAGTCATTCATCGATACTGCCAAATGGGAAAGATTGATGATCTCGTGGCTATACTTGAGAAGATGATACTGAGGCAGAAATGCAGGACAATTTATAATCAAGTCATTGAGAAGCTTTGCGGTTTGGGAAAACTCGAGGAGGCAGACAAACTGTTGGGAAAAGTTCTGAGGACAGCTTCGAGATCTGATGCTAAGACTTGTTATGTACTTATGGAAGGCTATCTTAAGAAAGGTTTGCCTCTCTCAGCATATAAAGTGGCTTGCCGGATGTTTAACCGCGATCTGATACCTGATGTCAAGATGTGTGTGAAGCTAAGCAAGAGACTGGTTCTGGAAGGAAAAGTTGAGGAGGCAGATCAGCTAATGCTACGTTTGGTTGAGCGTGGTCATATTTCACCCGAGTCCTCGAAACAGTCGATGGTCTCATAAACACCTATCTGGATTTACTTTCATTCTTGTAACCGCAAACTGTTTGTGGCTTCAAGCAAAGAAATTTTGATGGAATATAACTCTATCCAGGTGCTGGACATGATAACTACATGCTATTGTATTTTGTTCGTTAGTTTGTGATCCCAAGCGAAGCAAAGCTCTCACTCTATTAGGGTGATGGATTTCTTCTTTGATGCTCTTGGCGTGAGGAAACCGGTATGAGATAAACCAGTTATTCTACTTTACATTTCCTTGTTAGTGACCCATTATTTACAGTACTTGCTTCTCTACTTGCTGTTTTGAATTTTAGTGACATCTACAATCAAGTGCTGATAAGTCTCTGCCTCTATGTTTATACTTTAGTTGAGTCCAGGATTGTTTCTTTGCGTTTACGTTTGCATTTGTGTTATGCGCAAACGAAAACACAAATAAACAATCGTGGCCCAAAGTCATGTTGCTCTCTGATTTGTATCTTACTTAATGGCAAGACCAGAGGTGTTTGACACTTCACTGCTCATACAATGCTCAGTATACCTGACTGTTTATTGATCACTTTGATTATTCTGAGGAGGATTTCATCATAGAGTATGATGTTTGGTTACTAATTAGATTATGGTAAAAGGTGTGACTGTAACACCAAGATACTCACTTTTTCTGAAGGTGAAAGTAAATATTTTGGGACAGATAAGATTCAATGACTAGAAATACAATAGATGAAAAATTGAGGCTTATCTTGGATGGGGTATACCTTAGGCAGCGCTGTATCATTAAAGGTGATACATTATTTTCTGTATATGGGTATAGTGAAGTTGATAGCTTGCTTGTTGCATTAGCTCTCTTTTATTGTATATTTCTTTTTTTCTATTTTTGGTCAAACTTAAATCGTTCAGTTTGATTATTCTGAGGAATGATTTCATCATTGACTGATGTTTAGTTGGTTGCTGGTTGATAATTAGATTATGGTAAAAGGTGCAAATTAGATAAGAGCTGTTGATGCAACTGAGAAGGTGTGACCTTAACACCAAGAGTTTCTATACATTTGGGATGCTCACTTTCTCTGAGGGTATGTGCAAATCATATCAATTATGCGGAGAGAAAGGGAAGCTTTTGAGACAGACAGAACTTGGTGGTTACAAAAAAAGAATAGATGAACATTTGAGGCTTATCCTGGAGGGGCTGTATCTTACACATCGCTATATCAATAAAGGTATCCATTATTTTCTGTATTTGGGTATAGTGAAGTTGATAGCTTGCTTCTTGCATTAGCTCTCTTATATTGTATATTTCTCTTTTTCTATTTTTGGTCAAACTCTTATCGTGTATTCCTAGTTTTGTTAATTTTGGTTAGTTGTATAGACGCGGAATTAAGTCATCATTGGTTCCTTTTCGTGAGATGTTTGAGGTACTTATCGGACAACACTTTCATGATAATTCCTTCATCATGCCTGCTCTTCTTGTCCAATTAACGGATTTAGACTGTTTCCCTTTATTGGAACTTGCTGCGCAATATCCATTTCGGCGTGTTGCTATTTGTTTTTCCATGTAAAGGCTGAGAGAACCCCTAATTCATAAACTCGTTTCGTACTCTGTATTCTCTGTTATCATATAGTTCCATACACAATCATACTAAAAAAGAAAGTGTTACTGTCAAGAGTCTCTTGTGAAGGTTTCTTTGGAAGATAATGATTTCTGGTGATGTGATTTGTTGTTTTGTTTGTAATGCTTAAACCCCAGTTTATGACAGCGATTATGTTTATTGCTGTCTTTTGAGTGGAGGACTTGTGTACAGGATTCTACCTTGGATTTATATATTATCATCAACACTTAAACACTCTTTATATTACTGACAGTGCTCTGTGGGGGGTAAGAGGTTACTTGTGGATGCCGATAGAGCGAGAACTGTTCAATCTCTTTATTTTACTGTGCAACGTACAGTGCTCTGTGGTCAGTTGGCTTGAGAGTACAGGTACTTCAAGTTTCCATCTTCGCAGATAAACATAGTTTCTAGAAACTCTACCACTCTTATTGAACCATCATCTGGTAAGTTCTTTGGCATCTTATGTATTGAACTTCCTTCTCTACCCACTGTTTTGAAATAAAGTGACACCTTACAATCAAGTACTGACAAGTCTCTGTTCTCCAAGCTTTTACTTAAGTTAAGGCCACAATTGTTTCTTTGCGTTAACGTTTGCGTTTGCGTATCCTTGTTACAACGCAAACAAAAACACAGATAAACTATTGTAGCCTAACTTGTTACTCGACTAGAGGTGTTTGACACTTCACAGCTCAAATACTGCACACTATACCTCACTTTTTGTCATTCACTTTGATTATTTTCTGAGGAATCATTTCATCATAGACTATGATGTTTAGTTGGTTGCTGATTCATAATTAGATTATGGTAAAAGGTGCAAATAGATAAGAACAATTGTTTCTATACATTAAGGATGCTCATTTTCTCTGAAAGGTATATGCAAGTTATATCAATTATGAGGAGAGAAAGGGAAGCTTTTGAGAAGGACAGAACTTGGTGGCTAGAAACAAAATAGATGAACTATTTGAGGCTAATCCTGGATAGGGTATATCTTACACATCGCTATATCATTAAAGGTAATACATTAATTTCTGTATTTGGGTATAGTGAAGTTGATAGGTTGCTTCTTGCATTAGCTCGCTGTTATTGTATATTTCTTTTTCTTTTTCTTGTACTGACGCGGAATTAAGTCGTCATAGGTACTTATCAGACAACATTTTCATGACAAATGGCTGCATCTTGGCTGATTCTGATAGTAAGCCAAAGTTAGAAACTGTTGCTGAAAGTGAAAGTAGAGAGGACACCTTCATGAATTACTGCTTTTGTTGTAGATTTTTTAATATTCTGCTAACAAAAAGATCATGTCTGCTCTTCTTGTCCAATCAAAGGTTTTAGACTGTTGTCTATTATTAAAACTCACTGCGCAATTTTCATTTCAGCCGGTTGCTGTTTGTTTTCCCATGTAAAGGCTGAGAGAGCCCCAATGCAAACCTCGTTTCGTACTCTGTACTCTCTGTTATCATATAGTTCCATACAACATCATGCTAGGAAAGAAAGTGTTCCTTCCAAGAATCTCTCGTGAAAAAGGCCTTTTGGAAATATGTTGAAAAAGATCTTTGGTGATGTGATTTGTTGTTTTGGTTTGGTAAGAGGTTACTTGTGGATGCCGACAGAGCTACAACTGTTCACTCTTTCTTTATAGTTACTGTACAGTGTAGAGTACTCTGTGTTCGCTTGGCTTACAATTACAGGTACTAAGATATTATTTGGCATCATTAGTACAAAGGATTAACCTTTTATGGCTAAACAGTGAATCTGCATTTTTGTCAGATTTTGTTGGTGCTTTTAACTCATAGACAACATTGTTGAATCTTTCTTTACATCCCCATGACTTATTGAGATCCATGACATTTGGACTCATCCATCACTCGTGGGTAATTATCTTCTTCTTTTCACCACTCTCTTCAAAATTCGAATGCTGTGCGTTTTGAATGATTTTAGATTCATTTCAGCGTATGGTTTCGATGGTGACAAACACAGCTCATGGGTATGTTGTTCTTTTAGTAACCTGAATATCTTCATTCTTTATTCTTATGCATCTCTGCAAATGCTGTGTGTTTTTTTTGTGTGATTCAGGTTAAGTTTTAACTGTACACTGTTTTTGTCTGCTTATGGTTACAATTACTTACCTCGTCGGCTTATTAGTTTGTCTTGGGAAGTATTATTACGCGTCGTCATGAGAAAGCTAATTGGTTATGGCCATCCATTTCTCTGTGCTTGACCTTAGACAATGTCTTTGAGGATTTTGTGTTTGGTGTTATCCAATGGCACTCAAATGCTTTTGCTTGCTGAATCATCATCTCCCATGTTCTCCTACTTGTGTTTGTCTTCCAATTTGCACCAAGATCACTTGCCTCTGTACGGTCACATTTTTGTGTAAAGACGGTTTTGCCCATATTTCTCCTTTCGACACGACGACGTCTCTGCTGATGGTGGGGCATTTGAGGAAATTTATTGGGGCATATCTGGTTGATTTACACATTGTCATCTTTTATTAATTTTACCAAATTGATTCGTTACAAATCTGATACATGGCTCTCTAAGAAGATATATTAACAGTCTTCTAGGTAAAAATAGTTACAAATAAAAATAAATTTTACAGATATCTACAAATACCTCTATATTTATTTTTATTTACAGTCTATTACTCTGATTTCTCATTATTATGTTTTGGTCAAGTCACATTTTCATTCTGTACAATTTACAAACAGTTGCATGGAAAGTGAATCCATCTGAAGGCAATTACATTGAGAAAGAGGAAACCTTTTTCCCATAGATCTAAAAACTTTTTCGCAATAAGATCAACACAAAGATTTGCTTCTCTTCCATGAACTTGAATATTTATTTTTAAACTCTTCTTCTCCTTCCAATGATCTCACTTGTGTAGCACTTTAGTCTTAATTAAACTGGAGGATCCTTCAAAGCTTGAATTCCACTCCAAGAGTGTCCAATAAGACACCCTCCATAGAAGAACAGTGCCTTCTGCACCAAGGCAAGATTGTAGCCTAGGATAAGCCTACGCACCATACCATTTTCCCATTCTTTTTTTTTTGTTCCTTATTAGCACCCATCTAATTCAGTATATTCCACAGTACTTAACCTTTTAACCATCATTTTTCCATCCCTTGGCACTATTATAATTCCACACTTATCAGATGCATCAAACTAGAAAGTATCTATGTTATATGTCAGTCAGTGTACCTGAAGGAGGATGGCACAATTTGATTGGAGGTTGACTTTGTTTCTTGACTGCTCGGCCTTTTTCTGTGTTATGCTCCTCAGACTCCTATATTGCTTTCTCCGTAATCTGTTGGGCATCATGATGATTATTGGAAAAGCAAAGATCATTAATTTTCTTGCTGTCCAAATTTTCCATAATGTACACGATAATTGGAAAGAGGCAAAATATGTTCTTTCTATTTTTGTTTTCGGTTTTCTGTGGGACTTTTGTTGTTTTCTTTTAGTTTCATAAAGATAACTATGTTTTCCTTTTTTCCCTTCAAGCGAAAAAGGTATACGTAGAAATATATTGGATATGTAACATGTTTGTCGTTTATTTTGAGAGATGCTTGTTTGTCACTGTGTTCAAAACATCGGTAATCGTTAATCGGGCGGTCGGATAGGAATTTGGGATTTTTGAAAAAACGGGAATTAAGCGGGATTAAACGGGGATGAATTTTGACTATATTTTATATATTTTTCAAAAAATTTCATATATATAACTATATAAGTAACATATAATATAATATTCATATTTATATTTATTTTATTATAGGTATAAATAGATATTATAGTAAAGAAAATGTAAAATCATTAATATTATAGACGTTAATGTAAAATGTAACGTCTTGTAATGGGCTTAAAACATTAATAAACTTATTAACCTAAAAACTCAATTAGGCCCAATTAGAGATATGTCAATTTGTCGCAGAGAAGAAGCTCATCGTCTCTTTCTCCGGAGCCGCATTTCTCGCACGTGACGTCGACGTAGCTGTCGTCTTCTTCCTCCTCAATAACAGGCATGAATTTCGCCATTATCTCGTCCATTGATTTCATTTTCTTAGATGGTGGAGATTCGGAGAAGGGTCATCTGGGTGGAGTATCCGTTCTTCGCTTTGAGGAGACCAAACGGCCAGGAGATGTCATGGCGAGACGGAGCCAATTTTCTGCATCACCACCCGTTTTATGTGAAAAAGATGTTGACTTATGTTTATTTGACTTTGACCAAAAACATCGACCGATTTTGGTTAATCTCATCGGAGAACCACCGATGGCCGTTTTTCCGAGCGATGAACGGGACAAATCGCCGTTTTTTAGAACTAATAGATCAAACAGTGTAAAAAATACTGTTAGTTTAGGAAATTTTCTTTTGTGTGAATATATATTCACTGGAAATTAGACGAAGCTCTGAACTGATAAATTGTTAAAATGTTTATATAGTAGAAGATCCAAAGAGTTCACATACATACTTATAGAGGAAACAGTTTTCATGATGAGTCGCATTGGAATCATTTTTATCAGTTATTTCCATTTAAGAAAATAAAGTAAACTATTTGGAATGGTAGACCACTAAGATTTTCAAACCTTTATATAAAAAGGGGTAAATTTAAGCAATATACATAGAAACTTAGGAAATAAAGAATACAACAATAATATTTTTCAATTAATTTCATACATATACATATATGAGAGAGAGATTCTGCCCGATTTACCCCTATATGAGTTGGTGAACTCAGTGGACATAGTATTAAACGCGTGCTAACATTTAAATTGTTACTTGCTAACATTCAAACCATTACATGCTAACATTCAAATCATTACTTGCTAACACGCAAATCATTATTTGCTAACAAATTCATTAATAACGATTCGTCATGATCTTTGTTAGCAAGATAACATAGTCTTTGTTAACAAAATGATGTGATGTTTGTTAGCAAAAAAGGTGGTGTTTGTTAGTGAAGTGATGTATTTTTTGTTAGCGAGGTAACTAAAAACCTGTTAGCAAAATGATGTAGTATTTAAAAGGGAGATTAAGTACTAATTGTTAACAAGATTGTCGTAATATTGGTAGCACCGTGTCAAGTTACTTGTTAGCGAATTAACGTAATCTTTGTTAGCATGATATCAAGTTAGTTGTTATCAAGTTAACGTAATTTTTGTTAGCAAGATGCAATGCGAGGTAAGTGGAACAAATTTTCCCTGCGATGTGGACCCCACTCCCCATATGCTTAGCTACACCAGTAAAACAAAGAAACTCATCCTATAGGGATAAAACAGACTTTTTAATATGAACAGATAGCACAAAAACTTGTCAGAAATTGTCATTTAATTCTCCTATTATCTAAGGCTATTTAGTGCAATTTCCCTATAAAAAGAGGTACAATCTTTAAAACACTATTGGAAAGGCATTACAGCTCACACACGTGCGTGGAACAGCTAAAGATTAAGGGGTTTCCTTGATTATTTTTTTGGATCACTGAACATTATTTAGTTTATCTGTTTTGGTTTTCAATATTTTATTTAAATGATCTAAGCTCGAATCTTTAAGGGGGGGGGCAAAATCTTTGAAGAATGATTGTTTTTGTATCTGATTATATTGTTCTGTATTCATATATTGTTAAAATAAGATAAAGCTGTCCCCTTTGAAGACCACCTGATCTGCAAATTTTACCTGTAATGTTCCTGTACCATGGTTTGAATCTGATACGTGATTTAAACCATATCAAGGCTTGTTCCAAAAAATTATTAATTTTGTTCTTTACATAATTATTTCCAATAAGATTCACCAAACAAGTCTACCTTCTCTTGTTTCTGGATGGTTTGGGACATTACAGTTGATGTGCCTATATTTGTATATACTTCATTGATTTGTGATCCCAAGCTTAATCAATTGTTAGCTCAAAAAGGAATCATCTTTTCCACAAGAATTGACATTTTCCTCCCTATTAGTGTATCCACTGAAGTAGAACGAGCTTAACCTATGTTTAGTAACTCATCGTAGGCGATGATTGTATATTTGTAATCATTAATAGATTTGAAAACCTAGTTATACGCCCAAATGCCAAAACAATCGTTGACAAAAAAAAGTGAAATAACACTTGAAATAACACCAGTTATAGTAAAATGATAATTTAATGATCTGTCCATTCAAGGACATCAGATAAAAATAAAAAAAATAAATAACGATGGTTCTTAATAATTAAATGGGAATGATAAGCATGTGTTGGAAAGTAACAAGGGTATGGCTTTTTGGTAGGGAAGAATGTTTATTGACATCAAATTGCAGCATGCATTGTCCCCTCCAAAGGGTATATGTCATTCCTTCACCCACTTCTCTATTTAATAAAAAAAATTTATGAATAATATTTTCCCTAACATATTAGGAATATCTACAGGAAGTGACTCTAATATATCAGTTAGAAGAGTTTAGTAGTAACTTGTTAAAACTAATAATGTGTTTTAGTCGTCAGACATTAAGTCTTTTAACAAAATTTTCACTAGCAAAGAGCCATATTGGTAACTAGACATGGTAATTTGTGTAATTGTATAAGAATCGTTGGATTGTCTCTCTTTTTTTTTTTTTTTTGGTAAAATGTGAAGATTTTATACCAATTTTCGAATTTGAGACAGCATTACAGAAATGACTAAGAAAACGGAAAAACCGAAAAACTACAAACAAAAGCTACGTCTCAACGAAAACTACAAGGCGGATCAAACCAAAGACAAGATAGGCACACAACAACGCCCACCGGAGAAACCAAGACAGAGAAACACTGATTCCTCACAAAAGTTCGGAAATTCATGTTGTTGCCGCAGTTCCAAGGAACTCGAGTCCTCATCGTCGTTGCCACGAGCAACCGCAACCCCAAGGCCAGTCCTCAAAACCTCAAAGGAAGAGTCACCTATAGCTTCTCCGAAGACTAACACAAAAACGCCCCCACCTCAACGCATCACAGTACAACCGGCGGCACGAGAGCATCTACGGACAGTCAGAGAAGCCGCTTCCGACCACCAATCTCGAGCTTTTGACTATGAGAAACATCTCACAGAAGCACCATGGACGCCAAATGCAAGGTCGCCGCCTCTATCCTCCACCGTGATTCCCCAGGAGCAGAATGGAGCCAATCCCCCACCAGATGGTCCAGATCGTTGCCCCACAATGAGCCACCGCCAAAACGCAACCGAGAGACAAACAAAGCTCCAACCTAAACACACATCGCGAGGAGAAGAGGGTCACCCGGAAAGATTTGAAGGGAAACGAGACGGCGCCAATTTGGTCGAATTTGATTGGATTAATTTGATTTTATTTAGTTATTGTGTTTGTTTGTTGACACTATATATGATGTTTGCAATTTAAATAAAACCATAATATTTTAGTTTATCAAAAAGTTATTGTATATGTTAGATTTAAATATGCTAAGCGTAGATTTTTTTGTTAAAAAAAAAAAAAAAATCGCGAATGAATCACAAATCTAATATATTTTGTTGTAAGGATATAATCAGTTTAGCAGTGCAAGTGTGCAACAAACGAAACACAAGATACTTGATAAAATAATAATGAAAGTCATGTTACAACTATTTGGAATGTTTTCAGTTTTCAAAATGTATAAACGGATGATATTGGATTCATAAATATCATAGTTAGATATTTTAGGAGGTGGGCTCCAAATTTAATAATTTATTGTAAGTTGTTGCATAATTTCCTAATTTTTACGCTTAAAAGATGAGATTTTTTTTTTGGTTTTACACTCCACTAGGACCGCTATCACCCAAAAATAACAGAAAACTTAAATAATGAAATGAGAAATCACGAAGAACAAATAAAGAGAAAATACTGATACAGCCATACAGCTAAAGAAAAGGGAAACCATTAAATCGTGTCTTTCAGAGTAGGGACTCCAAGTGGCAACAGCCTATGCTCGTATTTGATGCCAAAAAAAAGTAAAAAAAAGTAAAAAACATGATTTCACAGTATTTTACCCAAAGATAAGCATAAATAACATATTACTAAGCAGGTGTGTGTGTCGCATACAATATTATCCTCCTATACACACGAACTACGCTAAATTTAGATTTTTATATGTAATAAATACAAAGCAAGTAAGCTAAATTAAGCCGAGAAACATTTTTCAATGCGGAAATTGTAGGAAAAATTTCAATACAAAACAGAAAACAAACATTACTGTAGTAAATTTTTTTTTGTCAACAATATGTAGTAAATTGTAGGGGAATATGATTTAGTAGGACTTCTTTGTCAAGCAATAAAATGTGTGTATTAATTTTACTCTTATGATATAATAGATAAACTCAGTTAATTTTGAAGACCAGGAGAAAATAGTTGAAAACGAAATAAACCCACACACGAGGAAACAATTAAAATAAATAAATTTTTGTTCGTTGCCTACTATAAATATATGTACGTTAGTGTACATTACACAACACACATTCTCTTTACTTCACTGCTTTTTTTAACAAATTTTCCAGTGACCGGAGAAAGAAAAAAACAAGAGACTTCACCGGCGAAATGGACGAATCTTGGCGTATGAAGATGGGTTTAACTGCTGATCCATTCTTCTCCATTGCTCGAAAATCCATGGACGCTCGAATAGACGCCGAAGACTTCGCCGATGTCTTCGGCGGTCCGCCACGAAGCCTCCTCACTCGGAAACTCTCCGGCGACTTCTCCCGTTCCGACTGTTTCTACGACGAGGTTTTCCGTCCGCCGGGAGTTCGCTCCGGTGATTCCCTTCCGTCTTCTAAATCTCACGGCAGAAATCTACCGACGTTCAGGATTCCTTCAAGCGGAGATGGATTTTACGACGGAGTGTTCGGCTGTCGCAGCGGAGGAGGCGGCGGCGGAACAGCCAGGGAAGGCACGAAGAAACAGAGCCCGATCGCGAAATCGAGGTCGAATTCTTCGTCAGTGCTCACTTCCGAGGAGGTCAGCCCTCATTATCCTCCACCGGCGGCGACTTCCGGCGACGACGCTGGATTTTCTTCTTTTACTTCTAGACTCAGGTGCGTTTAATTTACTATTATACCCCTCAACAATTCTGAGGTCAATTCCGTAATTTTGTTCTCTTCTGTTTGTTTTTGTTTAGACCGTTAAACGTCCCGTCGAGAAGTCATAATAAGCGGGAAACGAAGAAACAGAGTTTCCCGGCGTTTCCAGCATCCGGAGATTCATTTTCCGGCCACGAAAACGCACCGGAAAAATCAGATTTTTACTACAAAAAACCACAATTCGGCGGATCGAGAAGAGCCTCGCCGGAGACGATGAGCTTAGATCCAAATTCCTTCAGGAGAATGGATGATTACGGACCGAGCTCTCCGGCATCTTCCCCTGTTTCTTCTTCCTTCATCTGCGAAGAAAACGAAACAGAGGCAAAACAGAGAACGACCGGAGACTGTGAAGTCGAAGTAGAAGAGGACGAAGAAGAAGAAGAAGAGATGAGCTCTTACGTAATCGAAATAAACTCAGATCGATTCGATCGTTACAGAGAAGAAGGAGGAGGAGGAGGAGGAAATTCGGACTCCAACGACATGGATGAAGCAATAGCTTGGGCTAAAGAGAGATCTCAACGCCCAGAAGCAAAACATACAGAAGAAGACGTAATAGATTCAAGAAGAAGCGAAGAGGAAGCCAAATCAGAAGAAGAGGTTCGTCTAGTCAGTCAACATTTTGACATTTTCTCAGTGAAACAAGAATCTGATTTTGAAAAGATGAATAATTGCAGATGGAGATAGAGATGAAAGATGAAGAGATAAGAATCTGGTTGACCGGAAAAGAGACCAACATCAGACTTCTCCTCTCAACTTTACATCATGTAAGTTCAGGGAAAAAAACAAAATTCGCAATTTGAACCGGTCTGGTTTTGTAAACCGGTGCTGATTTTTGGTTTTGTTCAGGTTCTTTGGTCAAATAGCAATTGGCACGCGATTCCTTTATCAAATCTTCGAGATGGATCACAAGTGAAGAAAGCTTACCAAAAAGCTCGGCTTTGTTTACATCCAGATAAGCTTCAACAGAGAGGAGGAGCTTCACCGATTCAGAAATCTGTTGCCAGCAAAGTTTTCTCCATTCTTCAGGTACTAAACCGACTAAAAACCCGAGATCGGTTTAGCATTTAAGCTTTGGTTCTTGTTCTGGTTGGTGACTCACTCTCTTAGCTGACATTTTTGGAATTTTTGTAGGAAGCGTGGGCCGTGTACGTCACAAATGAAGGACTCTCGAGCTAAACCGGAATTTGCAAATCATTTTCTGGTTTGAAGTAAACCGGAGATGTTCAGAATCGGTTTATAAATGTAAGAAGAATAAGAAGAGAATGAGAAAAAAAGGAAAAGAAGAGTTTTGGAATTTTTTGTTTGTAAAAGTCATATTGAACATTCCCATGTGTTACTACTTGCCTTTGTATCTTCCATTGTCAATGTTCGTATATACAGAAAACAACAAAATGTTTCGGAAACTTATTTTAATTAAGAACAAAATAAACGAATAGAAGCTGGATAAGAAGAATCCAATGAATTTAATCGAATTGAACTTTTGTTTTTGGTTTTTGATACAGAGCAAGCCACAACTATAGTATTAAATATTAAATACTTAAAATTACGCTTAAGTTTTTATTTTGTCAAATATATCCAAAGTTTTTGTTTTCGACATGACCGTAATATATTATTTTTGTTTGATATCGGATAAGAATACGAAGTCTTAAGCATAGCAATTTACACTATTGTATATGTACATAAGCAGATAAGCTATAAAAACTTTAGTTAGGTTACCATCTAATCTTGGATCACTCTCCTTGTCGATTGTAAGATTGTCTAAAGTCTAAAGATAGAGAGCTTAAAAGGTTTGATCATTTAACCAAATACTATCTTTATTCTCTATTGAAATAATTAGTTGATATATAGTATTATTAGATATTAGTTAGAGTTTATAGAGTTTGGAGGTTTACTATAAAAACAAGCCGTTTACTGTATATTGTAGTTTGTAGAGTTTGATGATTGTAGACCGAATCGCTACGTAATATAGTGCAACAATTTGAGTCTTGAGATGTCTTCGGTTTGCAGCAGTGTATGATATTATCCCATTGATCTTTGCTTCTTATTTTTGATGTACACACTCAATCTTTTTCTGTTTTATTTTATTTTTGTCTCTTTGATCCTCTAGAAATGCATCATGGGAAAGCCTTTCATCAACCATAACCAGAGCACTTATATGTTCAGTGACAATGACTTGCTCACTCTCTGGTTGATTTGTGTACAACGTTTATTATGTCTAATTAAGCATGTGTTTTGAAATAGATCTCGTTGGTTCAATATAGTTTATATGGTTAATCTTGAAAACCCTATATGAAACATAATATTAAGGATATTCCTCTATATCACATCCGTAAGATTACTCTTATTAGTTTTGTAATCGAATTGAATGCAACGCTAGAGAAACCTAGTTCTGGCGTTGGCATTAAGGACGCCTGAACAAGTAACTCGAGAAACCAGAAGAGTGAAATCGTTTTTTTTTTTTTTTCGGTTGAGACTAGAGCATCGAATCTCAAATTGTATTTTAGCATTTTCTTCTAAAAATCACTTACTTCCTCTATTTCATATTATAGGGTTTAACGAGAAAGACAATTTTTTTGTCTTAAACTCTCTATAAGAAGTATGAAAGAGAGGGAGTATTGATTCACAATATTCATAATTACACTGAAAAAAATAACAAACAGAATTTTTTAAATACAACTTGTAATCTTTTTTTATTTACTGATACAACTTGTAAATTTATATCTTGAAAGCTGCGCAATGTGTGTATAATATACTTCTTCTATGACTTCTCATTTTTTGTCGGCCACATAACACACATCGATATACAAATGACACAAAACTCTAGAAATTTTAAAATCTGTATTTCAGTTTTCAAGAAGAAGAGATATACTAAAAAAAAAAATACAAGAAGATAACCTCCCTCTGAATTTGTCATAATAGTCTTGCTACTCGCTTCAACAAATTACAAGAAAGAAACACACAAAAATGGCTCATCCTCGTATAATCCATTTCCTCTGCGTAATCTTGTTCACCCTCGCAAACACATCACACTCTCTACACGAGAAGCCTCAAGCTTTTCTACAACCTATTCGTAAAGACAATGCCACAAATCTCTACTACTCTCCTTTATCCATCGGCGTCAACATGCTCAACGGCACATACTATCAATCCTACAACATCAACCTCGCTATAGACCTCGGCGGCTCTGCGCCGCTGCTGTTGACCTGCGCCGCCGCTGCCAAATCCCGTTCTTACCACCCAATCAAATGCGGTTCCTCTAGATGCAAACAAGCCAAACCGGACGCTCTCTCCTGTCCCAACAACACCTCCAAGAAAGCCACGTGTCACAAATCTTTTTCCACTTCCTACACTGAGCATCCCATCAAGACTCGTCTCCTCCGAGACACCGTCTCTCTTCTTTACACCGACAACGGCTTCACCATTATGGGAAGCGGTATTGATTTGCCGATGACTATAGCTTGCACCGACGTCAAAGTTGACCCTTTGTTTAAACCCTTCCCGTCGATTGTTGTTGGGACATTAGGTCTTGCCAAGACCATTACGTCCCTTCCAAGGCAGGTTGTTTCTTTATACAAACTTCCATTGAAAGTGGCTCTCTGTTTGCCTTCACCAGACTCCGGAGATGCTTCTGGATCTGGTGCTCTATTCATTGGTGGTGGTCCTTACTTCATGGCGCTTTACCCTGATGATGTCTCTAAGATCTTTGCCTCCACGCCTCTGCTTCCTAGTGACCCGTCTCGTGGTGAGTACTTCATCGACGTGAAGTCCATCCAAGTCAATGGAAAGATTGTTACTTTCGTCAAGAAAAGCACAAAAATCTGCACTTTGGCTCCTTACACGGTGTTGCACAGTTCTGTTTACAAAGCTCTGGTCTTAGCCTTCTCCGGAAATGCGAACAAGATGGTAAAAGCTCCGGCGGTGAAGCCTTTTGGTTCATGTTTCAGCTCCAAAGGACTTGGGAAGTGGATGATGGGAAGTCGTGTTCCGGTGATTGACTTGGTGCTGAGTGGTGGCGCTAAGTGGAGGATTTACGGTTCGAACTCGCTTGTGAAGGTGAATAAAGATGTGGTTTGTTTAGGGTTTGTGGACGGAGGCGTGAACCTTGAAACGGCAATGGTTATTGGAGGTTTTCAGATGGAAGATAATTTGGTGGAGTTTGATCTCAAAGCTTCTAAGTTCTCTTTCTCTTCTTCTCTTTTGCTTCTTAACTCTTCTTGCTCACAGTCAAGACATTTCTGATTCGTGTCTTGTCTTCTTTTCTTTGGTTTGTAATGTTTCAAGACCTTTAAAATAATAATCGTAACATTTTGAATTATTCCATCTTTTTGGGTGTGATAATAAAAGAGTAGAACTAGGTGTGAGAGAGTGTTATTGAGTGGGAAATTTTGTCTTAGCTCAACAAGCTTAAACCGGTACTAAATATTACAATTCTTCAGCTTGGTTCTGGTTTAGCTTTCTCATTCACATATTTATAGCCAAGACATCTCCTAATTCTCATCAGGCCCAGCTCATTATCTTGGTTGGCCCGGTTCCTTAGTTCTAATTTTGCAAGAATAGATCACATAATTTTGGAAAAAATGCCTTAAATTTTTTAAAAAGGCCAGTAAGTATAACAAAAACTTAGAAAAAAAAAACATAAAGACCCATTGCCAATGCCCAATGGGCATGAAATATTTGTCGGTAATAAAAATACAATAAAGGCAATCTAATAAAAAACCACGAATTTCTGCCAAATAAGTAATCTTTTCTTTATTTTTAAATAATTCAAACACCAAACCGACTATAAAGAAGAATTAGTTTACACGTTTATTCCCAACCCAAAAAGATTATTGGCCCCAACACTCGGTACTTCATGGTTACAAAAGAAATCTACTAAATTCGTATGTATTCAGTAATCTTTAGTGGTAGCTGATAATGATACATGCATGTCCCCAATAGGAAATAGTGGTGTGGGTGGCATCTAATCTATGGTGCCCGGCCTATAAGTAAACTAATGCACAAACCACTCAAAACTAATAGTTGCAAAATTAGTGGACAACAAAACGAAATCGCATGATGTAGAAAATTCCATCGTGAAGAGAAAAACAAATGGATGTATGACTTTTTCTGTTATTATTTTGTGTTTGAGATAAACATCTTTTTTTTCAAAAAAAATACAGGATTAATATTTTTTTTTGTTGCTGTTGTTACTATTTGTTATGGATTCCCAATAACTTTATATTGTGTTCATAAAGATTGCCTTTGCGCAGACATTCTAATAGTTCTGGTGTCGACACATGGTGTATGTAAGAGATCGATTATTGTTGTTTTAGTAATAAGATGTCATATGTATACTGTATATAGATGGTTAATACATTATATTGAAGAGCAAAGACAAAAGATCCAAGGTTGGTTGGTGAAAACTAAAGAGGAATTAAAGAAGTGGACAGGTGCATTTAGGGCATAGATATATATGGCCTACAAACTTCAAGTGTGCCATCCACAAAAAGAAATATCGAATCACATGCTTCAAGCATATTATCCCAACTACATCTCCTCTCTTCATCATTAGAGCACTAATCCCTTAACACCAAATTAAGACAATAATCTATATAAAGTTCGTATCTTTTATAAATATTATATCTAAACCGACCCAAATATGCCATTAAGTTTACAACATGTAATAACACCCCGACCTCCTCTATAGTGGGTTCTTACATCCTCTTTTGGGTTGTGGCCTCATCCCTATCTTACGATCGATATTTTATTTTTGAAAAATTCAAAAGACTCACATCATATGGTCTTTTTCCGTGTTTTTTTTTTCTCACTTGCACCAAAACGTTTCTGTTTTACGGTTGTGCACCAAAACGGCCACTCCCAACATTGTGAACTCACATGGTTACACTCTTGTCTGAATTTGGTTTTGATATTGCTTATAACACTTTGACTGCCCTTAACATGTGGGCTCTACTCTAATCTTATGGCCGTTGAATTATTTTTATAATGTTAATTTGTTTACTGTCTATGTAATCACCACATGATTTTCCCATGTTTTTTTTTCTATTTAACTGCAAATCACTTTCTAATAAATCATCCATATTTCAATTACTCCACTATAAGCACATCTAACTATGGAACTCTTTTTGAAAAGTTGAACGAAAATATTAGTGCATTTTGGTAATACATTAACCAAAACAATTATTTTAAGCTTCTCTAAATTTCTCTGCATGATACCAAAAAATTGGGATGTTACATGTAATTCGACTAATATTCTAAATACCAATATTTAATTGGTCTGAAATATATTATGGTGGCTATTCAATTGGTATGAAATGGTTGGAAAGGTTTGTTTGCCGGTTTCTTTGTTAAGAAAAATAATTAACATCCAAATCTATGTTGCAGTGGACAACTATTTTTAGCCGGTCACAACAATATATTTTTCGGCAATATGACTTCTATTTGAAAGGATTGTAAACTTGCGAGAGGGTGTTTGTAATCGTTTTGGGTTGTCTCCTTGTGTAGTTGACTTGCCATAATTTACAAATCAAACTTATAATAATAAGTTTAAAACGTGGTTAACAGTGTGACTTGTGAGGCTGGCAACTTCTCGATAAGATGGTTTAGTGTGCTGTGTGCCGTGCTCCTATGGGGTTGACCTTCAAACAAAAAGTAATTAAAAATGTTAAACGTTAATTGCAGAGATTTGAAGGATTCTAATGGGAGCTTCTTTGGATATTTTTTTCAAAAAAAATAATACACTCAACAACTGGCAGTCGGTAATTACCATTTTTTTTAAAACTGGTGTCAAAGTAAGGTCAGTAAAATAAATTACTGTTAACTTTTTTTTATTAGCCTTTGAAATTTAAACTGCTAGGCTGAACAAAGATTTCATATTCTAATGAGAGCTGCGTTGTGTTCAAAAACCAATACTGTTTTTTTGTAATATACAGTAATGTTCCAACTAATACCATATCTTTTATATGCTCTCATATATATTACTATATAAGTATTAGATCAATCCCGCTTGAAATTCATAAGATATAACTTCCTAAAAAGGCACAGTCTCACGTGATATACACCTAATGATCCCGCCGATCACGCCTGATGAAGTCAAAAGCATAACAGAACAGAAACCACATTCATATATGCATATATGCCATCAGCATGAGACACTAACATGCATGAATGGATGTTTGTACACATTTGGATTATAATTAAAAAAACTATAAATCCACGATATGGGTTAAAATATTACTTCTTTTTGCAAGTGGGGTTAACCGTAAAGTATTTTCATGAATCAAGGGAATTCAATTAGCGTGCTCCTAATCACTATCCAGCTGTTTTAAGATATCTGGACTTAATTAACCTTACAAAGTCGACCTTTTTCGCTGAGATTGCAGGGACAATTTAGGTAATCTAAAGCTAAGAAGAGTAAAATAAAAAGAAGAGACATGAGGTTTTGGTCGCTTTCCCCGCTTTATTGGGTATCTCACGTTTGCTCCATCAAACGGCTGAGCTTTGACTAGAAGAGGAAAACACTTAAAGACCACTCATATAATATCACGGTCCCATGTGGAATTGTTTTATTAGACGAATTTTCGGCTAAGCCCATAAATCAAGTTTCAAATTATTTACTTTTTTGTAATGCAAACTCATAATCTGATGCAAAAACATAAAACTTTTGATCAACTATTTGGCTAAAAGAACTTTCACAATTCAATGTTCAAGTTTAGTTTTAGCTTCTTGTATTTGTTGACAGAAATTTAGGTAGTTTATTTTTTAGAATGAGCTTTATAAGTTACTTTTGTTTGTATATATAAGACTTACGATATCATACTACCGAGTGTCCTATGTCAAGGCAAGAAGCCAGCTTGAAATAGTATATCAATCAATTATATATCTATAACAATACAACCTTTTTTTGTTAAACAACATGAATTAAGTAAGTATAATACAATCTTGATCAAAGTAAGTATCGACCCAAGACTACCCCAAAGTGATCTTATACCATGAAGAATCCACCAAGAACAAGATCAGGAACAAGGAAACTCAGGGAGGAGTTCAACAAGACCATGGACAACTTGCTTGTCCAAACAATCTTAGAAGATTTGGACCACTTTATGAAGAATCAAAATCAAGAAGAGACAAAGAGCATTGATCAAGAAGAAGCCAAAGAAGCATGACCTCTTGTAAAGACTCATTTGGACTCAACCATTCTCATCATTCAAGTTGTGGATGCTCAAGAATCCAATATTGTCTTATCACCATCTCATCTCACTCGACTATTCCTTGATTCAATTGTTCGATCCCATCCTCGCTCCTTATAAGATCATGTCCTTGATCTTATATCACCGTGATCTATGTTGCTTCAGATAGTCTAGTGATATCCTATGAATCTATGATATTTTTATTTACGTCTACTAAAATCAAGTAGGTATGTTTTGTTTTTCTTCTTAAAATCAAGCAGGTATGTATAAATAAGATACGTCTACACTCTAATAGCTAACGCAGGACAAAACACGTAAATAAATTAGTGTAGCTTTTTTCTCTCCACCTCTGTGCATTATGTGCCCACCTTTTCTACACGGACCTAAATCACATTGTTTTTTCTATATTTAATTTTCTAGTATTTTAGACTAAGGTGGAACTATACAAAAATTAAAAGTAATATATACTTTAAATTAATATGATTGAACTGGCATAATCTTATCTACTTAACTGTTCTAATAAATAAGTATAATATTTAATATCTTTATTTTCGTAAGACTTTTTCTTTGTACAATATATAAGTTTATTGTGCACTACCAGCACTTGAAAAAACTATTCACCACTCAAAAACGCATGCTGCTCCATTATAACTTGAGTGTTGTCTTATCTCTTGATATTGGTATTGCCTCACAAACACCTCTTGGCAACCCAAAGCCGACAAGAAAAACTGAATCTAAACAAGACGGAAAGTGAAGTTTATCTTCTAATGGTCGAGTTTATTCGACCTTACCAGATATCTAAGAAAGACGTCGCTCTCCGACGAATAATCTCCTCCCCGCACATCCCATTCCATCCATGTACCCACTTATTTAGCCGTGTATATAAAATTAACGGTCTTGTAGATCCGAAAAATCTTTTTCGAATATTTGCTTTTGTTTTTGATGTTTTCAGTATTTTAAAAATAGCAATGTTTGAAAAAAAATTTACATCTTAAAAAAAATAAAAAACAATTACATGTTCCAGAAATGTTGAATTCTTATCACTAAAACGACTATGACAATCATTGTCTGTATACTATAAAAAAACAATATGAATTATGCAAAAACAATATTCTCGGAAAACGATAAATTTAAAAACTGTCCACTCTGATTTTTGGAAAAGTCTGAGTGATACTCTTTTCTAATTTATTTCTTTTTAAAATTATCAGTTTTTGTTTTTTATCATTTAATTTTACCCTTTTAAATAGTCCAGAATTCTTACTTTTGTTTTGTAGGCCTAAAAAAATCAACTAAAAGTAATGATTACTCTCAAATTTCATTTCGTTGGACTAAAAAACGACCTTGAGAAGAAAAATAAAAATTACCAACAAGGCAACAACAGAAACAAAAAAAATCTGTAAGTGACTAATTTATTATTCGTTAAGTGTAATCATGTTTCGGTCCCTTTAAGAATCTCACTGTCTTTGTGCGTCAGACCAGAAAAGAAGTTCTTCAATGTACTGAAGTTTCCGCAGATCCATCTTCCCCAACACATCTCTGTAGAGATCTCTCTGATACATTCCCCTTCTCAAGCTCACCGATTTCTAAAAGAAAAAAAAACTGAAGCTTTTTGTCTCCAATGAAAAGCAAAATCCACCATCAGCCTCAGAGCAATAATGGTGTTGTAGGTAGCGACAATGGGAGCAGAAGTGAGTCTCCAAGCCCGCCATTATCTCCGAGCCGCCGTGTACCGCGCCGTCAAAGGCGGCAAACTCTATACAGAGCTTCCTCTTTCTCTCTCCGGAGAAGGCTCCGTTACTTCCTTCTCCTTCCAATGATTTACGCCTCTGGGCTTCTCATGTGTGTCGGTCCTTTCTCGGGTCTCGTCGGGTGGGTTCATGCTCCCGGGTCTGTTTATCGGAGCCCCGAGATTTACCGGAAACTCCGAGATGACATTCTCTCTGACAATTCTACCGCTCTTGAGGTACTATTTACAGTAAAACCAAAAAATTCTGTTTTTTAGATTCTATCAATTTGCTGAAGCTTGTTGCTTTTTTTTTTTTGGGTCCAGTTTTCTTCAGTGTGGAAATACAAAAGAAAACCAAAAATGCCAAAAGCTTGTCCGAATTCAACAGTTTCATCACATCTTGGTCTTAACAGAGGTAAGAGAGCCAAACCAATTTCCTTAGACTAATGTTTCTGATACTAAAAACTATTGACTTGCTCTGCTTCCCAGTTTCTGGGATCGCTAAAAAATAAAGTTATAAATCTGATTTCAAAAGAAACAATTTTGCAAAGCATTGATCACAATGTGTTTGTTGAAATTTCCCAGAATCATCATCATCTCCTCTTACACCTAGCGGTTACTTGATCGTGGAGGCAAATGGCGGTCTTAATCAGCAACGTTCCGCGGTATCACTTTCTTCTTCTCTTATGCTAAAATATCATTGATCCTATTAAGTACAACAAGTCCTAAGTTGTTGTCCTTTTGTTGTCCGATTGCTCCAGATTTGCAATGCTGTGGCTGTTGCCGGACTCCTAAACGCAGTCTTAGTCATACCCGAATTCGAATTTCATTCCATTTGGAAGGATTCAAGGTAAGAAGCCAGAAAATTTAATTACTTTCTCAAGTCTTATTAAAGATATTAGACTAAGAAATGCATATACATATGTAACAGTAACTTTGGGGATATATATGATGAGGATCACTTCATATCGAGCTTGGAAGGTTATGTGAAAATCGTGAGACATGTTCCGGATGAGATAATGAGCCGTTTTAGTCACAACCTTACAAGCATCCCTACTCTTCGCGTTCAAGCTTGGGCCACTGTGAACTACTATAATGGGGAAGTGTATCCTGTCTTAAAAGAACATGGGTACGTATGTTTTTTTTACTTTAAAGTCTTTGAATCTGTTACAATGACTTTAATGGGGTTTCATTGTTTCCTTTATTCGTATTCAGGGTTATACGGATATCTCCGTTCGCAAATAGATTGGCGATGAGTGTTCCACCATATATCCAACTTCTGAGGTGCATAGCTAATTACAAAGCATTGAGGTTTTCTTCTCCTATATCAACACTGGCTCAAAAGTTAGCTGATCGGATGGTTGAGAAAAGCTCTGACACCGGAGGAAACTATGTCTCCGTCCACCTTCGGTTTGAGGAGGTAGTACTTTTCTTTCAATAGTACAGTGACTAGCTTTCTTAAGAGAGACAAAAATAAAGAAGTCTTCTTTTTGTTATTTGTTAATAGGACATGGTGGCCTTCTCATGCTGTCTCTACGAAGGAGGAAGAGCTGAGAAATCTGAAATGGATTTGATTAGACAGAAAAGTTGGAAAGGGAAGTTCAAACGTGTCATTAGGCCTGAGCTTAACCGCGTTAATGGCAAATGCCCCCTTACACCGTTAGAGGTATATATATATATATTAATTTTCACATTTGAGTCTCAGCTTAGCTTAAAAGAGGTATTTTCAGGTTATTGAGCCTTTTTGTTTTTAGGTTGGTATGATGCTTCGAGGTATGGGATTTGATAACAAAACATCGATATATTTGGCTTCGGGGAGAATCTACAAACCTGAGAAGCATTTGGCTCCACTCAGGGAAATGTTTCCTCGTCTCTACACAAAAGAGTCTCTTGCAACTCCAGAGGAGCTTGCACCATTCGAGGGATATTCTTCGAGAATGGCTGCTTTGGACTACACGGTGAGCTTGTTGAGCCAAGTGTTTGTCACAACTCAAGGTGGAAACTTCCCTCATTTCTTGATGGGTCATCGGAGATTCCTCTTCGGTGGACATGCTAAAACTGTCATACCCGATAAACCAAAACTCGTTCTCCTTCTTCAAGACATGGGTCTCAGGTAACTATAAACCTTCCTTTCCTCATCTCAAGCTTGGCCATGTTTATAAAACACGTTATAGATAAGAGTTTGGTACAATGTTTCTTGAACAGGTGGGAAGATTTCAAGAAGGAGATGAGAGTGATGCTAGGGGAAAGCGATAGAAAGGGAGTGATGGTGCCTAGATTGAGGAAGATCAACCGGAAAACTTCTGTTTACACGTACCCTTTACCCGAATGCGAATGCATCTTCCATTTGTCTCCCAATTCTTCAACTACTGGAAACATTCACAATCTTGGAGCTCTTCATCCAACTGCAAACCTCGTCAATTCTGCAAGACTATTATAGTCTTTTGGATCCTTTTACACTGAAGCTTTGTCCCAAGTCCTGAACGTTTTTTGTGTGCACTTGACGGATCAGAAGCAAGCGATCAGATGCGGAGGAGATTCTTGTGAGAAAATACAAAAGGTGTAAACAAACGCTTTAGGATTGTAGCTGTGTTGCTGTTTTTGGTCTTTGTAGGACGACTTAGGGCAAGCACAGAAAAACAAGGGGTGTGATTTTCTCTACTTATAATTGTATCTTTTTTGTTCATTACTTACGTTGTGTCCCTCTCAAACCGTTCAAGTGTATAGAAATTTACATTTCTCTGGTGTATTTTTCTTTGTAACATTACTTGTCATATCTACTAGTTACTTATATATCTAGTGATGATTTTAGAAATGTTACCGAACTCAACATTTAATCCAAACCCGCAAGTTTTGAAAATGATTTGGTTTGACACCTCCGAACAGATGAGATTGTGATTCTCAGGCATCTACCATTGTTGGAGCAACGATTGCTCACTTCGTTCCTCCTTCACCTGATGATTGGGGCAATCGATTCGACAAAATTTTCGACTGCCTCCATTCTAGATTTTTTTTTTAAACCGGAAATTTTAACCAGATCGTACTAAACCGGAGGTCATCGTGTTGTTTTCTCCGTCCGACAGAGCGAAAGCGACACCTTCTTTGTATACGCTTATGCAACTGTTGCGTTTCATCTCGTCGGCGGTGGTTCCTCTCTCTACAAAGCCTTCCCGTCTATCTTTCTCCGTCGCAGGTTCGAACCATTTCCAATGGAAAACTATTCTCCTCTCTGTTTTGAAATTGGATACTATTATCTTTGGTCAATCTATAAAACGAAAATCGATCGATACAGTTATGTTCTGATACAGTTTTGATGCTTTTTTGTCAGAAATACGATTAAAAGAAATTGAAACATTTTTTTTCCGGTTTTGTTTGATTTTAGCTATGGACTGTGTTGCTGCTTCGTGTAGCTTGGTTTTATGTGGCAAGTCCTCTGTGGAAACAGATATAGCAAAGAGTTTGAAGAACAGTAACACGCTTAAACTCCCAGACAACACTCAAGTTTCACTCTATCTGGAATCTGAGATGAAGGATTTGGTTAGAGATGATGGTGAAGATTCCTTCAGTCCTTCACTGTTTATGAACTCCATCTCAACTCATCAGTTCGGTCGGTTTCTCATTTGGTCTCCACGCTTGTCTTCCACTCATGACGTTGTTTCTCAGTAAGCGTTCTAAACATTGGTTCCTTCTTTCTTTAACGTTACCTTTGAAATCTGTTTTATTTTACTAAGTTTCTTTTCAGTAACTTCTCTGAGCTTCTGGTTGGTTCGGTTTGTGTCACGGATATTCAGTTTAAAGGTCGAGGTAAGAATTTTCATTAGAAAAAACCTGAAACCGTGAGTAGTAACTAAGTAACTGACGAATATGGCAGGGAGGACAAAGAATGTGTGGGAGTCTCCAAAGGGTTGTCTTATGTATTCGTTTACTGTAGAAATGGAAGACGGTCGAATCGTGCCTTTGATACAGTATGTGGTCTCGCTTGCTGTTACTGAGGCAGTGAAACATGTCTGTGACAACAAGGTATTGTGTATTCATTTAGATATTATAATAATCTTTGAGTTTTTGCTCATTTTGGAATCGATTTTCAGGGTTTGCCGTACATTGATGTTAAGATAAAGTGGCCGAATGATCTCTACTTGAATGGCCTTAAGGTTGGAGGCATTTTGTGTACCTCTACTTACAGATCAAAGAAGTTCCATGTCAGTGTTGGTAATAATAATAAGCATTGTGACTCTTTAAAAGAAAGTTGAAGCATCTGTAATAGGAAAAACGATGAAATTTACTCATCCTTCTTGCTTTTTGGTAGGTGTGGGATTGAATGTTGACAACGAGCAACCGACCACGTGCTTAAATGCAGTACTGAGAGACATGTCTCCTGCATCAAACCTACTCAAGAGAGAAGAAATTCTTGCTGCTTTCTTTGATAAATTCGAGAAATTCTTCCATCTCTTCATCGACCAAGGTATATTGTTAAAACGGACTGCTTATAGATTTAGTTGGCTGTTTCTATGTGAAATGATAATCAAAGTTTTGAGCCCAGTTTGAATCATTTCTATCTGATCGCATTCCACTTTACAGGTTTTAAATCTCTCGAAGAGCTATACTACAGGACATGGCTTCACAGGTAAAACGCTATTGTTTACATAGTGTTATTGACTTGTGGCTGTTAATACATTTCACATTGAAGTGTGAGGATACAAACTTTACTTACCATGTGCAGCGAGCAAAGAGTGATGGTTGAAGAAAAAATCAATGACAAAGTTGTTCAAAATGCTGTGACCATCCAGGTAATGGATTGGTTATATAACAAATATACAATTCGAGTTACTGTAGAAAAATGGTGGTTCTCTTAATTTAATCCTCTTTGTATCTCTAGGGTTTGACAACTTCTGGATATTTGCTGGCTATTGGAGATGATAATCAAATGTATGAGCTTCACCCTGATGGCAATAGGTAAATTTTTGAAAGTGTTAGTTAAAATGGATAACAAATGTTTATTAGATATTACTACATGTTAAAAGCTAATATGGAGTGTGTGTATGTTTAACTACAGTTTTGACTTCTTCAAAGGTCTAGTCCGTAGAAAAATATGATCTGGTGGAAGCTAAGCAGATGTTGTGTTAGCACCATGGACACGAGTAATATTAGTTTCTATTTTGGAGAGTAAACAAACAGTGTCTTTTTTTTTCAACATCAAACAGACCATATGACTTCTGAGACAATGTAATATAATCCTCATGGAGAAAAGTTACTACAGACATTAATACACTGTTTAATCACCATCATCATTACATTAGCCATAGTGTCCATAAAGGAAGTTGTCTCAATAAAGCAGCGAGATTGCCAGTATTATGACAATCCAAAATCGCCTGAAATTTCTCTTTAGAAGTAACTGTATTTGGATTGAGTAACAATACCAGATTAGAAATTTGTGTTCCTCTCCAAATAGTTTGTGTAAAATTACATGTAAAGAAGAGATGATCCTCCATTGATTGAAGAAGCATAGTTGTAGCATTCATTGATGAAATATTGTTAAAGGAGATTGGTTGGCATGCAGGCGCAGCTCTAATCTGTAACTAATTAACTATATATTATCGAACGACGTGAACCCAAGTCTGGAAAAATATATATTAATCTCCTCTCTTAATTTGATAAAGTAAAGAGAATAGAAGAAAGTCTCATAACTTAAGCAATCTAATCATGGAAAAATGGTGGTATTTGGGAAACAAATTGTGCTTCTTTTATAATAGAACCATATAATGCCTTTTTCATATTCCACTTTGAAACTTTTCTTTTGTTAATTTTATATGAATGATTTAGATTTGTCCTTATGGTTTCAGTCAAACGAATAAAAAAAAAAGTTAGAACAAGGGACCCATATTCTGTAGTATATTATGTATAAAAATGAAATCAAATCTTAAAGGGGTCCACTTTAATTTGATTTATAGTGAATTTCCAATACACTCACTCATACTTAATCATTAGGGTCTAGGGGGTGTAAAATCACAGTTTGTTAATTAAATCCATTGGAGGTCTAATGTCACCCAATGATTAAGCATGAGTGTATTTGCCTTTATCTGACATAGATTTATCAAACCAAATTCAAATAAATCAAGTTCAAACGTGAGAGCATACTGAACAGTTGATTAACCAAGTCTTCAGATTGCTTAATCACTTAATCGAACAAGTTACTAATCGTTGAAATTTGGAAGAACAAGAAAATATAGGTATGGGTTCTTTTGTTGAATTAGTTTTCTTTTCTGAAATGGACTTTTGTGGTCACGTTACGTTGTTGAATGCCTAGCTGCCCAAGTCTCACTCTAATTCACAAATGATATCAATTAGACGAACCATAGAAAGCTAATAATCCGAACCAAAAAAGATAGGATCGCAATGGTTTGATCACGAGGATCATGTTCATAACAAGATATAAATTTAAAACTAGTACATAAGACAATAAAAGCCATATCAATCAAATAAAAGCAGAGCGGCGAGCAATAAAAGCAGAACTCGAATGAACAATGTCATGCCTTAATAATTTTGGTTTCGAAGGAGTATTGTTTGAGAGTGATACTAAGATTTTAATGCCATACTATTTAAAAACCTATTTAATGGCCTAGATCTCAAATTTATACAGACGACATAAGAGAGCCATCATGGAAAATATTGTGGTCAAAATATGGATTTTGCGAAAGAACAAAATTTTGAGTGCGGATCTTGTAGAATAACCTCTTGCTTTCCTATTTATTTGCTATACTAGACTGTAGTATTCCCTCAAGATCATCTAGTACAATTTGTTCTCAACTATCAATAACAAATTTGTATGTTTTATAGATGTTTTAAGTGATTCGTTGTTGGCACGCAGATAAAAACAAAATCAAGAAGTGACTTGTTCTTTTAGATTCCTCACGACGTCAGCAGCCACCACATAATACGGCACCGTTTTCAGCGGACCCCTTCTTTTACTTTAAAAAAAAAACAGCACAGCGGAGAAATTAAAATAAAAAAAAAATAATTAAAAATTAGGCTTGGCTTCTCCGGTTAACTCCTCCTCTGTTCCTACCGAACTTTCTTCTCTGACCCATTTTCAGCAACTGCCTCTCTCTCTCTCTCTCTCTCTCTCTCTCAAAAGCTTCTAATAAAAACTTTGAATTCATTACTCCTCCGCCGTAACTGTAACCGTAACCGCCATCATTCTCCGCCGCGCTGTAATCGATTTCCAACGGCGCTTCAATTCGATGTGCGGTTTCTCCTCGTAGACCGTTTCCTCCACATGCATCCCTTCTGCTGTGTCTCTACTATCTCCGATCACACTCCTTCCACGCCGTTACCGGAGCAACCGTCGCTCTCTATGTACGCCGCCTCACCGGGAACTCCTTTCGGTTCCGCGAGATCCCAGCCGGTAATCACCCGATCCGCCTCACAGCGATATAACCATCCCGGTCAATCCAATCACCACCTCCTCCACAGTCTCTCGTTTAACCACCACAGCGGCGGCGTCGTCTCCTCCGATCGGCGTGTGCTAGCTTTACCGGCAGCGGCGAGGGAAGCGCCGGTGGATGTTAAGATCAACGATATCGCCGGGAATGCGATTGCTGGGATTCTGTATAAATGGGTGAACTATGGGAAAGGGTGGAGACCGAGATGGTTCGTCTTGCAGGATGGAGTGCTCTCGTATTACAAAATCCATGGACCTGATAAGATCCTTGTTAGCCGTGAGACTGAGAAAGGATCTAAAGTGATCGGCGATGTGTCCACGCGTATGGTCTCCAGGAATAACCGTCACGCCAACACTCACCAGCTCCGCCGCAAGCCATTCGGCGAAGTCCATCTCAAGGTACGATTTGATTATCAGTGAAAAATTGTTACTCTAATGGAACAGATTCTTTGCTCAGTTTTCCCAAATTGCTTCACTATTTTCTCTTATGTTATACGATTGGACCTTTTATTCAGTTTCGATGATTGAATAATAAATGATGTAGAAGTTGATCATCATCATCATCTGCTCGATTTCATCTCAAGAACCGATTAAATCATCTATTGATATCGATTCTGAGAAAATTTACATTCTAATGGTGTTTATATGTTTAGTTACCCAAATTGCTTCACTATTTCTCAAAAAGATGATATATTATATAATTGGATCTGAAATGCAGTTATGATGATTTGATCGCTATAGGTTTCGTCGATTAGGGAGAGTAGATCAGATGACAAGAGATTCTCGATATTCACTGGCACAAAGAGGCTTCACCTACGAGCAGAGACGAGAGAGGACCGAGCAGCTTGGATGGAGGCATTGCAAGCTGTGAAAGATATGTTCCCAAGAATGTCAAACTGCGAGTTGATGGCACCGACGGACAACTTAGGCGTCTCGATGGAGAAGCTTAGGCTGCGTTTGGCCGAGGAAGGAGTGAGTGAGTCGGCCATTCAGGACTGCGAGCAAATCACCAGATCTGAGTTCTCTGCTCTTCAGAGCCAGCTTTTGCTTCTTAAACAGAAGCAGTGGCTTCTCATTGATACTCTTAGACAACTAGAGGTACTTCAAAAAAAAAAATCAAGATCCAGCATTTTAGATTGAATAGCTTCCGCTTTTTAGATGGATTTGGTCAAAGGAAAGTCTTTGTTGCATCTTCATGCGTTTGTGGTGAATTTTTGTTTGTCAATCGAAACTCTGCTAATTGCTCTCTACACGCCATTGTCTAGACAGAGAAAGTAGATCTGGAGAACACGGTTGTAGATGAGAGTCAACGACAAGCTGACAACGGAGACTCAGGTTGGTTTAAGACTTTTCTATTGAGCTGTTGACTGGAGTCGTTGACCTTACTGATTCCATTTTATCTCAGAAGAAGGAACTGCTAGTGAATCCGACGATGATAACGAACGGTTTGATGCTGCTGAGGAGGAGATTGATACGTGTGACTCGCTTTCTTCAAGTTCTTTCAAAAGTATAGGATCTGCTTTTCGTACATCATCATTCTCTTCAGATGATGATGGGTTTAACAATGGGTTTGAGTCAGAAGATGATGTTGATTGTGATCCTTCCATCAAGTCTGTTGGGTTTAACTATCCTCACGTCAAACGACGGAAGAAGTTGCCTGATCCGGTGGAAAAGGAGAAAAGTGTCAGCCTTTGGTCAATGATCAAGGACAACATTGGCAAGGATCTCACAAAAGTCTGTCTTCCGGTTTACTTCAACGAGCCACTATCTTCTCTACAGAAATGCTTTGAGGATTTGGAGTATTCGTACCTTCTTGATCGGGCATCTGAATGGGGGAAAAGGGTATTAAGACTCTGCAACCGACTGAAGTTAATTTTAGTTAAAATCTTTTTGTGAATAGCACCTTGATTTTGCTCAGAATATAAAACTTTTCAGGGCGATAACCTCATGAGGATTCTGAATGTTGCTGCTTTTGCTGTATCTGGTTATGCATCAACCGAAGGAAGAATCTGCAAACCTTTTAATCCAATGTTAGGGGAAACCTATGAAGCTGACTATCCAGATAAAGGCCTTCGATTCTTCTCGGAAAAGGTTATATAACCTTCACTCATTTAGCTTTTGGTTAAGATAATGTATGTACTAAACTTCTATGGTGAATTTTGTTGTCAGGTGAGTCATCACCCCATGATTGTGGCATGTCATTGTGATGGCACAGGATGGAAATTCTGGGGAGATAGCAATTTGAAGAGCAAATTCTGGGGTCGATCGATTCAGCTCGATCCTATTGGTGTGTTGACTCTGCAATTCGATGATGGTGAATCTGTGCAGTGGAGTAAGGTATATTGATTCTTAACTCAATAGAAACAAAAGTAACCCATTTGTGATGATGATATGGTGCTTAATCCACCTCTGCTCAATATATATAGGTGACTTCATCGATATACAATCTCATACTTGGTAAACTGTACTGTGATCACTACGGAACAATGCGGATCGAAGGCAATGGTGAATACTCGTGTAAACTTAAGTTCAAGGAACAGTCGATGATCGACAGAAATCCTCATCAAGTCCAAGGTATAGTGGAAGACAAGAACGGTAAAACAGTGGCTAAGCTGTTTGGGAAATGGGATGAGAGTATGTACTATGTGATTGGTAGCCAAGGAAAGGCCAACGAATCACATCTTCTGTGGAAACGAAATAAAGCTCCTGAGAACCCGACGAGGTATAATCTAACACGGTTTGGGATCACTTTGAATGAGCTCACGCCTGGTTTGAAAGAGAAGTTGCCGCCAACGGATTCGAGACTTAGACCGGACCAGAGGCATTTGGAGAAAGGAGAGTTTGAGATGGGAAACGCGGAGAAGCTGAGGTTGGAACAGAGGCAGAGACAGGCGAGGGAGATGCAAGAGAGAGGTTGGAAACCAAAGTGGTTTAGAAAAGAGAAAGAGTCTGAGACGTACAGATACGTTGGAGGTTATTGGGAAGCTCGAGATGTTGGTCGTTGGGATGATTGTCCTGATATCTTTGGCCAAGTTCAACAATCCGTCAACTGAAAACCAAATTACATAAAGAGAGGGAGAGAAGAAAACTCCCATTTTATCATATTTTTTTGTTTTTGTGTTTGTTCTTTTCTCGTCTTTTCTTCAAGGGTTTATAATTCTTTTACACGTCATTCTTTTGTTCCCTACTAGGGAGTTTCCGGGTGGAAACATTGAATTTCTCCTTATACAAGGCTTCTTGAGGTCCAAGGGACAACAGAAATCATTGCTAAGTTGAAACAAACAGTCTAAAGAACGGAAGGACTAATGATAAGAAGTTGTTGATGTACTGTTGCTACGAGTGATGGTTTTTGTCCACTCGAAATTTGTAAATGACGGTTTTGGGGGATGACTATTGTCTTTGGATCCGTCCGAACAAGTGATTATACGACCCACTAGACTAGAGTGTGGAGAGAAGCACTTGTTAATTGTTATGTTCATGTTTTGGTCACGCCCTGACTTACTTCAGTACTTCACCAAACTTTACTTAAAGTAACTCTAGCCCTAGTTCTAATATGACATCTAAACAACATCATTCTAGAGGAAAACCGAAAACTTAATTACCCTATCTTGCTTAGTAGACTCGTCACTGTTCGTCAGTGTGGCCGGTAAACTTAATTATAGTCTTTCTTGATCGAAATATTTGGTATGTAGTTTGTGTTTTCATTTCAGATCGTAGGTTTCTTAGTCAACCAAATTAGTTACAGAGATTACTAAGAAAATTGAGAAACAAATTCATGTTTACAAAAAAAAATCAAAAACAAAAACAAATTCATAAATAAATTAAAATATGGTGACGACTAACCACACATAAGAGTATAAGACTGACCGACCACTCATAGGAAAACATTGATGTGTGAAGAAGGGTTTTCAAATCAAAATTAAGACTATTCTTAAGAAAAAAAATCGAATAAGGTTTATATTTTGTAATTAATAATGAGTTCGAAAAAAGTTTACATTTTATCTAGAAAAGAACTTTACTGTCTTCTTGAAGATGAAACCCAGTAGGACAAACAAAACTAATCAAAATCTGTTAAATAAACTTTGCTCTCATTTTGTTGTTTCTGAGATACAAAACTTTACTTTTTTAATCATTTTTAATCTGTAAGCAGTTTTCAAAATTTCCAATCTGTACAACTTCTAAAAGTGTCATGTAAATACGACATTTTCCTATATCTGTTTCGATATATCCAAAAGGTGAACTGTGCAAATCAGCTTAACATGATCGTTTGGTTTGGTTAGTAATACGAAAACTAATAACAAAATTGTAATTAGAACTAAGAGCATGTGCAATGCACATACCCATAGGTATGTTCCCACATTTAATATAATAAAAATAATATTATTTTAGTTAAAGAGTTTTGGAAAAAAATTTGAAAATTATGGCACAACATTGCACATACTCATATGGGTTTCTTTAAAAAAAAAAAATTGAAGTATTTATAAAATTGAAAAAATATTATTATTCATAATATTTCGAACACATTATTAAAAGACAAATACAACATTTATTACATATAAAACGAGGAAAAAAATACATACAGAGAAAACACAAAGACAAACATACATGTTCTAAACCATATGAAAACATGATTAATGACCAAATTTGTTCCAAATATGCTCAACCAAATCAGCTTTCAATTGGTGATGCTTTTGTTGGTCACGAATATCAGCTCGATTAGCCATAATATTGTGGACATTCGACGGCAAGCGGTCAGGGGGACGTACTCGTGAAGACCCGCTCCCGTCTGCTCCTCCTTGTTGGAATTCCGTTACGTTATCTATAGTTTCAGCGTCTCTTTCATCTTCCACAATCATATTGTGTAATATGATACAAGCCTTCATTATATTCCCTATCTTCTCCTTATCCATGGTAAGAGACGGGTTTTTAACAATTGCAAATCGAGCTTGTAAGACTCCAAAAGCGCGCTCAACTTCTTTGCGGGCAAACGATTGATGGGCACAAAATAATTTTGCTTTCGGTTCTCCGGCTGAGGAATTGGTTTGACAAAAGTGGACCATTCCGGATATATACCATCTGTGAGATAGTAAGCCTTCTTGTATCGGTGTCCATTAACAGAGAATGACACCTTAGGAGCTCGACCTTCTAATATATCATCAAACACGGGTGAGCGGTGGAGAACATTAATGTCGTTTAAAGTACCTGGAGGTCCGAAAAATGCGTGCCAAATCCACAGATCATACGACGCGACAGCCTCTAAAACGATTGTTGGTTTTGCATGACCCCGTGCATATTGCCCTTTCCATTCCGTGGGACAATTTTTCCACTCCCAATGCATACAGTCAATGCTTCCTATTGAGCCAGGAAATCCACGCGTCTCTCCGAACCTTGAGTAATCGTTTAAGATCTGCTGGTGTAGGCCTTCTGAGATAGTCCTCCTCGTAAAAACCGATGATTGCGTTGGTAAATTTATGCAAGCATTTCAGCGCAGTGCTCGCTCCTAGTCTGAGGTATTCATCGGCTGCATCAGCTGCATTGCCATATGCGAGCATACGAATGGCGGCAGTGCATTTTTGTAAGCCGGTCAAACCGGGCTTTCCAGTACCATCCGGTATGTGCTGAAAGAAGGGTAAGTCGGATAGCTTGTTAACTATGCGCATGAACAATGGTCGGTTCATCCGAAAGCGACGTCGGAAAATAGCGTCGGGATAGATAGCATTCTCACTGAAATAATCATTGATCAAGCGGATGTTCCCTTCTTCACGTTTCGATCTATGACCGCTCGTTTCTTCCTTCTCTTCTCTGGCTCAAGAACTTCATTTATATCATCTAAACACTCTCTCATAGAGCTTGCAAACTCATAATCAATTGCTTGTTGAAACTCATCATCAAATGAAAAAGGATGGTTGGAAGATGATGCCATTTTTAGGTTTCTTTGCAATTATGAAAAGAGTTGGTGTTTGTATGTGGTAAAGATTTTTTTGATAGAGAGTATATGAGAGATTTGTTTGATAGAGAGTGTATAAGAGATTTGGAATGATAGAGGTTGTGTGAGAGAGTTGGGGTTTCTTTGCAATAAAAGAAGAGAGTGCAATAAAGAACTTGTAAAAGAAGAGAGTGCAATAAAGATTTTTTTGTGTTGCAATAAAAGAAGAGAGTGCAATGAAAGGAGTTTATGATACAACAATACCAAGACGCAAACGTTTTATAGAGTTGGCCGAGAGTCACATGTGACTTGGCCGAGACAAAACACAAACAAAGAGACACAACACAAACAAACGAAAACAGTTGCCGAGTTTGTTTTAATGTGGCCGACTGATAAGTTGGATTTTTCGTATCAACTACTCTCAATCCATACCACTCATGTCATTGTAGTACTTGAGATGTCAATCCAAATGGAGATTCAAACTATCGAAATAAAGAAAAGGCAAAGATCAAGTTTTGATAAAAGATTGGGTTTTGTTTTGTAAAGATCTATGCTTTAAGCTAACAAGATGAAAGAAAGATTTAAACTTTAACAATTAAGATAAAGGAGGCGTCTTGGGTGAGACTTAGTTGGGATCAAACGAGCTCAACCATCCTTTCTCAACACACCAAGACTCAAGCTTTGTGCTTAGACTTTGGGTAAATCTGCCACTCTCGTGGTCAGATCGCTTTGCAAGCTGAGAATCCAAAGCTAGCTCTCACTAGTGGACTCAAAGTTACAAGCTTTCACAAGATCTAGTCTAAAAGTGCACAAGATACATCCCAACAACCAATCTCTTAGGTTGGGAATGTTTCTCTCTATCGCTAGCTCTCTTAGGCATTAACGCAAACACCTTCTAGGTGTACTAGCCTAGATTCGCGACTTCAAGTGATCAAGAAGAAGCCGAGATATAAAGCTCTAGCTAAAGAAAAGCTGGTCAAGGGAGATTAAGGAAGAGGTTACAGGAAGCTAAAGCTCTGACCTTTCCTAATCTCACCCTCGAAACCTCTAAAGAACTACTCGCTACTCATACTCGAACCGAAAGCAAAGAGGTAAAGAAAGCTAGAAATCATCATTAAGACAAGATTAGCAAACTAAGTACTTCTTAAACTTAAAAGATTCAAAGTAAAAGCTTACAAAAGATCTCCAAGAACAAACTGTTTTTCTTGGAGAGAAACTGGTTACAAGATAAAGATTGCCTAAAATTAGGTCTTAAAGGTTTATATAGAGAAGGGAAAAGTGTATCCTTTGGTCAACGTTTTTGCTTTGACTTCACAGATGCGCGCAGCTTGAGCAACTTCCTCAAGCACTCTGTTTCCTTTTGCTCAAGGCTCTGTTCCGTCTTGCTTGTTTTGCCATCCGATTACTCCGATCTCCTTCTGGTCCATCTCCGATCATCACCTCCGGTCCTCCTTCGCCATAAGCTCCGAATACCTGATAAATGCACCCCAAATGCAATGGAAATGCAAAATGCTATCCTAAAGGCTAAATGATCCTAAGTAGACTAAAGCTACACTAAATGTTATGAAATGGACTCAATTATACACAGAACTATGCAGTATGAGAGGCTAAATGCATGCGAATGTTGAGTACATCACCGACCAAACTAAAAACAAGACTCAAAAAAGAAAAACAGTTGTGTCACACATACAACCAACACTCTTAGGTCGGCAACAACAACCAAACACGTTTTCAGTCACAAGAAGGAGAGAACGAAGATGTCGGCAACAACAACTACACTTCTATTGCTCCATGCTCCTTTTTAGTCTGCATACACGCAAAAACCAGAGCTTATAAACACAGTACATATCATAATCAACAACATTATCTAAGATGTCGGCAAGAACAATACAGTTATGCAAATTGATAAATACTTAGTTATCATAAATACTTGAAAGAACACTTAACCTAATGTGAAGAGTAATTTAAACCAGATATGCAAATTGATGGAAGCAGAACACATTACCTAAGTTCAACGAAAATTGAAAGAACACATGCAAATTGATGGAAGCAAAACACATTACCTAAGTTCAAGGATCGTTTCACCACTTGCGCCTTTTCTCCCATCTTCGCAGAGGTCTCTTTCAGACACCCTAAACAATCCTCCATCTCTCTATCGGCCTCACGGGAAGCTGCTCCACAGTCCAAGCAATCTTGCTCTGCTTCCATCAGTAAGTTCTCACAGGCGGCCATATCTTCCCTCAACTGCAGTGTGTGACGCTGAAGAGACCTAAACCGATCGTAAGATGCCATGAATGCTTTCTGAATATGTTTGTGTTTGATTTGGAGCAAGTCCAACCGGCGCTTTTCCGAGTTGTACATCTCAAGTAGGTCCTGCAAGAACCATATACAAGAATAAAACATTACTTTCATAAAACAAGTTTAACATTACCACGAAGCATTAAAACATGATTTTCATATAAGGAAACAGGGAATACAAGGCATTAAGACAAGGCATTAAGAAAAGGCATTAAGACAAGGCATTAGGACAAAGCATTATGACATTTCACTTAACGGAAACCTAAAGATAAAACCGATTAAATAGCTTATCCTTGACCGCTTTCTCTATATCGTTAAGTGGTTCGGTTTTTCCTAAGAGGTTAGATAGGAATTGTTTATCCGCTAATATCTCTTTGTTAGTGAACTCCTTTTCACTTATTGTAGCCACGGCTTCGAGGTTCTTCAAAGCAGCCTCCCTGTCTTCGCTGGTTCTCTTCACGGTCTTGGATCCTCTCAACTTTGCAGCCTTTGCTGCCTTCACACCCATCGGTCTCTCTTCTTCTGGTTCCTCCCTCGGACCAACGCCTCCGGAATCATGTGGCTGTGCTCGTTTGCTCTGCCTTTTGCCTTTATCTGTTGTTTGAGAACGCCACTTCTGATCGTTTCTAAGAGCTTTCCACGCATGGGCTAAGACGAAGTTGGTCTTATGATCCTGGTAATAGAACTTGTAAGACATCTGGAAGACATCATCATCGGATTGGCCACTTGTAGCTTGACGGCTCGCCATGTCAAAGCATCCGCAAAACCACTGCACTTCTTTGTTTATTTTCGTCCATATCTGCTTGCAAGTATTCCACAGGCGAGGAGGAAAGTCCTTAACCGCAGTACACCCATGATAGTAGATGCAAACCCGTTTCCAAAACGCTTGAGCTTTCTGTTCATTTGTAGTCACGCCATCTTTGCTAGTGTTTAACCACGCGGTCACCAGCGCCCCATCTTCTGCGATTGACCATCTTCTTCTTGCTTCCCGTGTAGCCAATGGTGAGCTCTCGTCTACGTCATCAGCGTCATCTGCTGTGAAGCTGGTTTGGGTACTAAAGTTAGGAGGTTGGTCACCGAAGAGAGGTGTCTGAGTACTAAACAGAGGAGTTTGGGTACCAAAGAGAGGTGTTTGGGTACTAAAGGAAGGTGATTGGGTACTAAACGAAGGTGATTGGGTACAAAATGGAGGTGTTTGAGGTGTACCGATTTGGTTCATGAGGTATGTGAAGGATCTAGGAAAGCTCGAGGGACTATTGGAACCCATTACGTAAACAGAAAAGAGATGAGTGAAGAAGAAACTCGTGTTTTAGGGTTAGCGATATGAGTGAAGAAGAAGCTCATCAAGTTGTGTTTTTATAGGCAAATGAGGGTTTAAGTAAAAGCGACAAGACATGAAACTGTTTTTAAATTTTTTTTAGCTCATTTAACTCTACACTTTAGTGGTTGACATTGCATTTAACTCAACATGACTCAACATACAAGCAAAATTCATAATCGCTCACAACCTAAATCTCAGACCTATGAACCAATTACAATCAAACAACAACCGCAACATTAACACCTCTCTACCTAAACAGCAAACAATAACTACACCCACAAGCTAATCTATCACACAAAGGCGGAAACCTAACCTTTACTTTCTCGAGCTGATTTGAGTTGTCATCATCTCCACCAGCTGTCTTCTTCGACGCCATCTCGAGACATGAGGAAAAAGAAGAAAGAATACATGTTAGTTAAAAGAAAAGAGCATTCAAAGTTCTAAGGTTAATGCTTTCTAGTTCCGTTTAGATTTGTATGAATCATAAAACACAAGAGACACCAAAAGCATTATAGTATATGTTCCGTTGGATTCAGATATGGTAAGAATCAATGTCACGCAGAAACCATTCAACCGTACATGATACAACAGAAGGAATGAACATGAGCTCGCAAACCATTTCCGGGAGATTACAATTACGGTTCAGACACAAAAGGAATAAACAGTTTCATACAATTCGATTCACCTCAAATTAAATCGGACAACCACACATGGCAAATCAATTAAACATTTCCAGCAAACTCAATTTCCTAAATCACAAATCCGATTTACGTTTTCAAACTACTCAACCACCAAAATTCATTTTATACTGACTTTGGATAGAGGTCCATACCTGAGAAACTCGCCGAAATTCAAAATAACTTGCTGGAAATCGCCTGAGATCGAACACGGAAAAACGATATGCGAGACGACGAAAAACAAAGGACAAGAAGAAGACAGAGGAGAAGAAGAAATGGACGAAGGAGAAGAAGAAATGGAAGAAGGAGAGGAAGAACAGAGCATAAACGGGTATCGGAGACAGAATTTTCGTGTCGCCGATTTTCAGATCGGTGTGAGAGACGGAGAAAGCGAGGAGGCAACTGAAATGAAAAAATAAAAAAAAAATTCGGGACACCGAATTTTTCCACGACGCGGCTCCTTCTGCAACTGACACGTGGCCGCAGCAACCGGTTCTGGGCTGCTTCCTGGAGAGACGATTGTTTAAATTAGACCCGCTACATGTGAATTGTTTTGCAATTTTTCTTTATTTTTGGGCTAAAGCATCGATGCAAACATGTGCGTTGCACTTGCTCTAAGAGATTTCTGGTTTTTTATTTTTTTCCCGATGTCTTCACTTGATTAATAATCTGATCAAATCCAGCAACCCATACTTCTACTGAGACTTCCATCATGTTTAGCTTCATAGGTTATCATTACACCTTTTTGCCAACCATTTATATATTTGATTTTACTTTATTGTCCACGACTCCACGTTTTAGGTTTGTAGGTTTGATGATGTTATAGATTACGTACGTAATTTAGAAAGTCTACTTGTTTCTCAGATTTTTTACTTTTCAGAAAAAAGTACTCTTAAATCGAGGAGATAAAACAGAACCTTAATAGTATGAACAAGAACATTCTTTCACATACTCGGATTTTACCTATTATCTCTTTTGTTATTGGTGTAGATTGTAGAGTATTAAAATACCTCCAACAAGAACATTCTTTCACATACTCGGATTTTACCTATAATTTCTTTTGTTATTGGTGTTTTTTCTTGTCTTCTTATAGAAAAAGTACATGTTCTTTCATTTGCTTTTTAATGCATAAGAATCGTTGAAAAATAAATTAGGAGACGCATCAGCGATAAAATGATAAGCATACACTTAATATAACTCTTGGTGACTTTTATAGATGGTAATGTCGCAAACAAATATAGTGTGGCAAGTGACTTATCTAAACAAAATGACTGTATATCCTTTAGAAAAAAAAAAACTAAATGACTGTATTTAACTTCAACAAAAAAACTAAATGATTTTTGTAACCCACTCTTTGTAATTTTACCCCGATCGTTATATGGAATATATTCAGATGAAAAAAAAAAAAAAAAAAAAAAAAAACTTCAACACAAACATTTTGCATGTATAATTTATTTATACCGAATGGCTTTTTTTTAAGTGGAATAAAAAGATTGATTGAAGTATTCTGTAGATGAGAAACTTCCAAAACAAGTATAGAAAAGTCATAAGACAGTCAAATATATCAATTGACTTTAGCCAAAAACATGCAAAGAGCTTAAAACCTCGGTGGAGAAACGAAGCAGGTTTTAGCTTTTAGATCGAGTTTTCTTTGGCACTCTGTTTTAGCTTTTAGAAACGAAACATGCAAAGTGACATATCCTGTTTGTGTCTCTCAATGCAATAAAGTAACTTTAGTTTTATCCAACGAATAAAAACAGGATAAGAATAATGACAATTTATAAACGACTGTTTTTTATAAAGACAATTAATAAACGATGAGATTCATCATACATGCATGCAATGATGCAAATATCATAAACAAGACAAAACATGTTAACCTAAAGAGAAGAGGCAGACGGAACAGAGAGTAATATTATAAAATTATTTGCGGAAACCGAAGATCTTGACCTAAAAAAACAAAAACGAAAAAGAAAGAGAAGATCTTTTCCTTGCATACTCTCTTTTACAGTTTTTATTATTTTAAAATGTACAGTATATCTCTTCTTCTCTCTTTTGTTTTTTGTTTGTCTTCTTTCGGTAAATGCTTCTCTTCCCATATTTTAAATATTCTTTCTCCTGCAATTTGCAAACATCCCAAAACTTCCATAGAAGACACAACGAGCAAACCCGCCACCACCACCATATGACCACATGTTAGCTTTTACAATTCGTGTCAAGAGTCAAGACTCTCCGGCAAACATCTATCCATGAAATACCTTTTCTTTTTCCAATTTCCCTGCAAACGCCCTTATGATAATTGATATAAGCCCACACAATCTCTTTATTATTAATTGAGAAATACATTGATAATTTTTGGAACAAAAAATCAATATATTTACAAGAAAAATGTGTTTGGCAACAGATTTAAGAAGGGTTAATTTTGTATAAAACGATAAAATCCACCCGGATACATCATAGTACATGGGACGCGGATTTTTAAGATCACTTAAATCAAACCACTCTAATGGTTACCTTAAACCGACAATCTATTCTTAAAATTTCTCGGTTTATCTGCTGCCTCAAAATAAAAAAAAATAGAAATCTATCAATGATGATACCAAAATCCGAGTAGATTATAGTAATCATTATACCATCATCAAAGACTTCCGCTTTTGCAGCTCTAAGAATACCTGTATAAAAGAAAACTTTCACTTATCCATGGATAATACCAAATCAAAGGAAACTTAATACTAAAGAAAATATTATCTTCAAAAACAAATTTCTTAATTATGCAAATATGATCGAATGATATTTTCATTATTTGAAAAACCCTACTACTATATAATACGTGAGGCGATGAATAATAAACCATAAGTGACCATGATTGTAATCAAAGCTTCCTCTGTGTGGTAAGTTTCAAATTTCATCTCAAATAAAGGTGCTTAATTTAAAGTGTGAATTTAAGAAGTGTATACAAATACATAACCTGGTTATTCAATCATTACAAACGTGCGGGTATGTTGTGGTGTTCCTTGGGTACGTGGTGTTTTTTATTCAGTTTAGGGTTTTCGGGATTTTTTTGATTTCGGGTTTTCGGGTTTAGACATATTAAAAAGGTTTGGATTTTTTAAAATTTTGATTAGGGTTTTTGAGTCGGGCTCAGATTTTAAATTTAGATTTTATTCACAAAATCGCAACGTCACACCGCGTGTTTGCGCGGGTCCTCTACTAGTATGTTTTATTTCTACAAAAAAAAAAATTGTCCTAAAAAAGACTGTTATCTCTATACTAAAACATTATGCGCCAAACAATCCACTTTACTCTTGCATTAACAATCCGGGTTGAGAATACGTCATGGTATCATTACGTACTTTTACATTCAATCGTCTCTAATAATCGAAGATTATTATCATTACATTATTTCCTGTCCCTGTACTGAATAAGAGTCGTTAAAAAAAAATATTTGAATTGGAAAATTTGTTGTAGATTTCAAACTCAATCTCAGTCTCGTTAATATGATCCTTTTTTCAGTTAAACAAAATAGAATTTGTCGAACTTAAAAAGTAAAATAAACTGAATCCCAAAATTCTGATCAGAAATAAAACTCAAACCAAAATTGTACCAAAACTAATGTATTTTAGATTCTAGAAGAGCTAACTGAGTTTGATTAGTGATTACTACTAGTGTTAACTGTTAACAAAACAACTGAAAGACAAGGGAGAAGAGCAACTAAAAATCAAATGTTTGAAATTTTGCTAATTCAAACATCCCTCTCGTTCAATTGAAACCGAGAATCTGCAAAAATCTTTTTTTGTTAAAAAAAAAAGCTGTTTTGTTTTGAAATTGACCCATAGTTTTGTATGGATCGAGAAATGTCTGTCTCTTCGACAATACGTTGATAGCCCGATGGACATTAAACTCTCAATCACGCCGCCAGATCAAATACTCAATAGACCATAAAAAGCCTACCATTTTTTAGCAAAATATGTCTTGGGACAAGAAGAACATTAAATGCAAAAACTTAAAAAAAAAACAAAAAAAAAAACAAACAACAGAAAATAACATACTCAAGAGAGTGTCATGTCTTCTTCTTGTACCTTTTTTCTTTTTCTTCTGACCCATTTTCAATCACCGAAACTGCAACTTCTCTTCCTCGTTCCCCTCAAAACCTCCCATGCTTCTTCTCTCCTCCTTTGGGTCTAAATAGTAACCACTGAATGTTGCTGAATACGGAATTTAGCTGAATAAAATGAACACTTTTTGCAGAATCTGGCTGAATAGTTTGTAATATGAATGGTAACAGCCGAATGTTACTGAATGCGGAATAAATGTATAACACATTATTTATATAACAGAATTACAAAATATTTACCTAATTAAATTAATTAAATAAATATAAAAACATATACTCTAAAATAACTAAATAATAGTTAAATTAAACAAATAACTTCATATATATATGATTTAGGAATCATGATTTATAATTTGTTTTGTCAAATATCAAACATCAAAGTTAAAAAACGTTATTTTCAAAAATATTACCAATTCATTAATCAAAACCCTCTTAAATATTTTGCTTAATTTCTGCTCGTATTATGCATATAAGCACCATATAGTGTTCTCTCTTATTTCTGTAGAAATTTTATGTGGTATAATAATTTAAAAATCTATATCAAATCTTATTATAATTAAGTTGATTGTAGACTAAAATAAGCATTATTAATATACTGTTCTACACTTTTTTTTTATCTGAATTTGTAAATTTATTTTTTGGATCCATAATTTTATTATTAAGATTCAGTCCCAAACACTCCAAAAATCTGAGTATTCGAAAATGTCGGATTGGATACTGGATTATTGATTAATTGTCCCATTCTTAGAATTTATTTTTTGTGACATTCCACTTGAGAGAAAAAAAATACCTAAATATTCATTCATTTAAATTTGTTAATAATTTAAATTATAAGAAAAGTTTTAGTTATAAATTTTTAGTTGTATTTTTTATTTTGTAACATAAATTAAATTCATTAAAGTGAAATAACAATATATAAAGAATAAAATAATCTTTTTGAAAAGAAAAAAAAAATGACTATTCTTTTCCATTCTTCAACATTCTTCACAATTCTTCAATGCCTATTCTTCAACATTCCTCAATGCCAACTGGTGTATTTAAAAAAGTATTCCTCAACATTCCTCACATTCTTCAAGTTTCATGTTACCAGTTAGGACCTTTATCTCTCTTTTTATTCACCTCTTATTCTTCTTTTTCCTCTTCTAAACCCTTCACTTTTCTTGATTCTTTCTAGGGTTTCGTTTCAATGGAAGAGACTAAAAAAGCTGCTCTTGTACCTCTCAACCCAAAAGCTCCGGAATTCTATCCTAAATCCGGAGCTAAGAAAATCTCACCGCCGTGTCATGGAAAACCCAAATTTCGCTATCCTCCTCCTCCTCGTCCTGTGTTCTTTCGCTGTTACAAGAGCTACAAGAAGCCATCCAAAGCTCTCAATGCTAAGCTGGAAAAACCCAGACAGCCTTACCGGTTTATGTTTTGTAACCGGAAATGTCCTCCTCCACCGAGATGTCTTCCACCGAGACTGTTGAAGCAGAAGGGTTGGGTTCCCAAGAATCGAAGCTTCCCACCGGCGAACACTGTTCCTCCTCCTCCTCCTCCGGAAGAAGTTCAAACCGAACCTCTTTTTGGTGACAAAACATCTCTGATGATTCGAAACATTCCAAACAATTTCGAGTTAGTCACTTTAATTCTCTTCAAAATCCTTTTTTCTCTTTCTTGGAAATGTCTCATGTTTTTTGGCTTTTTTTTGGGGAAGACGAAGCGAGCTTCTGAGGATTTTAGATATTCATTGTTGGAAAGAGAACAAAGATGCTGATTTCAGACAAATCCTATCTTCCTACGACTTTCTTTATCTGCCTATGGATTTCGTGTGAGTAAATACTAAATCTTTCTTTGTTTGGGGTGAAGTAAATGCTAATGACGGCGACGATTGATGATATTTAATTGTTTTGGGATTGTGAAACAGGAAACACGCTAATTTGGGCTACGCTTTTGTTAACTTCACGAGCTCGGTTGCAGCTGAGAAATTTCGTAGGGAGTTCGATAATTGCGTTTGGACCAACTCTGGCTACAATAAGATTTGCGAAATCACTGTTGCTAAGTGTCAGGTTGCTTCTCTTTTCTCTGTCTGTTTAGTAAATTTTGTTGCTTAGTTAAAGTTTTTTTTTATTTCGGGTTTGAATTGATCTATTATGAGTTAAGAGTTTTTTATTTTTGGTAAAAAAAATTAGTATAACACTTAATCTCGTGTTTGATTTATTAAGAGTTAGAGTTGTTAAGTTGTGGAATTTAGTGTAAGTTGTTTAGTATCAGGTTTGATTTATTCAGAGTGTTGGCTAATAAGAAAGTGAGTTTGTGAAACTCTCTTAATTTCGTGTTTGATTAATTTATAAAGAGTTCTGATTTTTGATGATAGGGGAAAGAAGAGTTGAGTCAACGTTTCAAGAACTCGACATTCCCCTGCCACACGGACGAGTATCTTCCGGTGGCTCTCTCGCCACCGAGTGATGGTTTCACCGGTTACTGCCTCACGACGCTCGGACACAGGTGGGAGCGTCGTCGCTAGATCTTATCAGGGTCATGAAGAAGAGGAGCCTTGTTTTCAGTCATCTCCCGAAGACGTGGCATCACGACTTGGGTGAAATGGAAACATAAATATCCTCTTTCTCTCTATCTCTCTATGTTTAGTACTTTAGTACTTTGTCTTCTGCTTAATTCCCATTTCAGATTTCGTGTTTGTTTAATGTTTATTAGTGTTTGAGTTATCTAATTATGTAGTAGTTCTTAGTTATCGTACAATCTCGATGTTTAGCCGTCCAAACTCTTTCTAATTTCTACTTTTTAGTATTGTATAAGCTGAAGTTTGAAACCTTTATCGTTTATTCTTGAGCAAAAAAATATCTTCCACATATATAATGAAGAAAAAGAAAGTTAAAATTAAATTCGTGATGTAATTTGATATACAAGATCGTACCCACGACTATTAATCTGTTAGGGTTTTGAAGATTTTCAGGATATTGTCTAAACGTATATACTTCTATTGAGATTTGAGACTTTTCACTTTGTCTTCATAGGTTATCATTACTCCTTTTCTATCTATCCTTTTCAATTTCTTTTTAGTTAATCATAAAATATGTATGAGTTATTGAGTTAATGTAATAAGATTGGGAGGCTTTGGAAAGAGTTAATGTAATAAGATCAAATCCACAAAATGAGCGAGAATATTAGGAATTAAGGTTTTGGATTGAAGAAGCTTTAACAAATCGAATTTTTCAACCATAATGGCACGGTGATACAAAACATGGGCCATACTCATAGAAAGCGTTCGATAACACGTTGGGCTTTAACAAACTTTAGAAAATCCATAAAGTTTTGCATATGCATTTAATTTCAGCATCCATGTATATATAGCACACCATAATTAGTTTTTGTGTTTAAAACAAATGATATCGTTGCCAAAATAAAAGCAAATTATATATATAGCATTTTAATATAATAAAAGAAAAGAATGCCAAATGAGAGAGACTAAAATTATCACGGATATGAAGTTGTTGTTAACTTGTTATTACTATAAGAGGATGACGGAATGAGCTGAAACGTTGGATAGCATTCGTAGCTACAAGTGTCAATTAGGTTTGTCTTGTTTAACGGCATAGCTTCACTTTGAGTGATAAAGACATACCATGAAGAGTACTAGAGGCAGGCACTGGACAATGTGGGACTGAGAAGCACCGACCATGTCGCTTTAGATCACAGAAGAAGAAAAGTTGCCGACATGAATTAAACATAAATGGCATAATTAGCATTAACATTATTATCTCTTACATGAGATATAAGAGTTTCTGATGAATAAAAGACCAAAACTTGAAATTAAAAAAATTAAATATTATTCATAAAACCCACATTAAGTAAAAAACCAAAAAAAAAAAACAATAATAAACTAAAACCAATAAATAGTAGAAAAACTCTTTGATATCTCAGAAAACGACTAATATTGAACTATCTTGTGAAGCAAAAATCGTTCATAGCTTTGATCCCACATAAGTCCAATTACATCGCCTTCTTGGTAGTTGTTGGCTCTAGCAAAAGGGCCCCATCCTCTCTTCAAAAAATAGGTGTTGTCAATGTCTTTAACTAAGATCCATGTGTAGTCATCAGCTTCATTACCTTCCTCTATAACATGGACCTTCACTTCAACACCGTTTTCTGTTCCTATCTGCTGGGCCATAGCCTGTCTCATCAGCGGAATTATAGAATCTAATAATTCTTTTCGCGGTAGGAGAAGTTTACCATTCATCGAAGTATCAGAAGCGGTTAACTTCTTTTTTATAACCCATGGATCATATTGAGATAAACTCAAATCTAAATCCGCTTCTTGAGCCATATTCTAGCTAATATGAATATTTTTTTTTAAACTATGAAAGATGATGATAGCTACTAAGAATATTTTGGTTGAGAAATTAAGTTCATTCCTTATGTTTATATAGCTTTCAATCAAATCAAATTTCCCTTTTTCTATTAGTATTTTTCCTTTTCAGAAGTTTTTTTTTGTCATCTTACTACAAATATTTTAAACATTTTTGTCAAAGTATACAATTTTTTTTTCTGTATATAGGAAAACTGTCATTCATTAGGTATACTTTACATTTTACTAATTGTCATTATCGATTTCTTTTTTCTCTGTTTTTTTAAATTTCTAACCTTTTTCTTTTACCAAAGTTTACATTTTTATAATAGAATTTCTAACCTTTTTCTTTTATGAAAGTTTACATTTTATCAATTATGCAATTTTTTATAAAGTTTACATTTGATCAATAATAAGGAAATGGATCGTTGATATCACATATTTTATTATTAACAATCATTTGCATCTTTCATCAGTATTTTCCAAACACAAGCTACATAGAGTATCAGAAGAAGCACTACTAAGAGATCGAATTTCATGAATCTCTTCTGCACAAGTGATGCCAATTCCCAGATTCTCCTCCCTTTCTCACCTATTTCCAACAACCATTTGTACATTTGAGCATTGTTATAAGATATATAATCAAACTCACCTAGCTTCAAATCCCAAATGAAGTTAATATATTCAACATACCGAGAACGTTTAGGGCACGTTTAGCTCTGATGATAATCTCGGTCCTCACTGGAGTAACCCTAACCGCAGCACCAGAGTAACCATACTCTGCAAACTCTCTTGTGAGAACCTCATTCAATTCAGCGTAGAACTTTGCGTCCGCTACAAACTACAATTCACAAATCACAGAAACAGCTCAAATACGATGCAAAATGAGTGAAATCCATCGAAAGGAAAAGGTTCCGGCGAAATTCACCTTTCTCTTCTTTTTGCTGGTTTGCTTCGCCATGTTGTAGATAGCTGAAAGTCTGAAACCCTAGAGTCGGGACGGTGAGCGGTAATTAGCAAATAAATAGTTTGGGGTAAGGGTTTCCGAGGCTCATTTGCTTGCTGATTGACTCAGACAATTTATGATAGTTTAGGCCGATTAGCTGTAAATACGGCCCATTAGTATCTCAGTAGTTCGAATTAGGTGTGGAACCAGGAGCAAAAACCTGAACTCAAATTTTCAACTTCTGGTTCTGGAGCACAGTAAGATAAGCTTCGCATCCCAAGCTATTATTATTATTTTTTTTTCTAAGCATCAATATTGGATTATCTAAATAAAACAATGAACTAAGTGGTTAGTCAATAAGTATATACAGTATATATAATCACGTAAGTTTTTAGTTTTCTTTTTGTTTAGTTGTTCAGAGTTAGAGTTTAGAATCATTTCTTTTGCCACAATATGCATTATGCCGGTTGTGAACTCGATTGGTCAGTTTAAAGTCATAACTATATTGTTTGATTTATGTGGTTTTGATAACAAATAAGGCCTTATTAATTTGTTAAGCCAATACAGTGTTGACGTGAATTGATGGCAGAAGATGCAACCCAAAAATCAAACTAAGAGATCGAATTTCATGAGATACATCGTTTACGTGTACATATAAGTTTATTTGCGAAGATAAAAAGATCGAATTTCATGAGATACATCGTTTACATGTACATATAGGTTTATTTGCGAAGATAAAAACTTCAAATATTTCATAAAGAAATTTCTCTGCGTTAACGGAGTTAATCTTGATTTTGTACATCAAACTTGGCTGCTCGAGGTGAATTGTGACAAGTTTGAGTGTTTCTCGGTAATTTATGATATCAAATTATCAATTAGATAAAGAAGCTTAATTTACAATAATCTTATAAGAACAACATTAGAGAAAAGTACGTGTATCTTTTTAATTTTTATTTTGAGAAAGAAAAGCAAATGTGTTTTAATAGAAATAATTAAGATAAAGGTAGGCAGAACAAAAAGGAGTTGATTCATATCTTTTCTTTTGACCCTAAAAGGAGTAAAAATTAGTTTCTTTTCTTCTTTCTCCATCAACCTTCTGAGGTGAACTTTCTTGCGTCATTCCTAAGACTTTTCTTATGGCTTTAACTTTGCGATAAAATGCTATTAAGTATTTGATAGCTTTAGTTATGTGATTTACACATAAAAATGTAAAAATGATGACTTTTTGTTAAGCCAAACATTTCTTAAAAAATATACCGCAGAGTCGTGGAGTCTATACTTGACCTTTACGAACAACATAGGCGTCGTTTGGTGCTTAAGCTATCAACTATATACGTGACTTTCTAGTAGTGGTGTGTGAACGCAAGAAATGACTATTTAGTTTCTCCTCCAGGCTCCAACAAATATGTTCCTTCCATTTCTAAAAGATGAATTATCTAGAAAAAAATGTTTTAAATAGATATTTTTTCTATGTTTTCAATGCATTTTAGTTAGTTAATAATGATGAATTATGTGACTACAATTATAGTTAAGTTTAGTTTTTTTTCTTATTATGTGTGAAATCTCTAAAAAAATCAACTTTTATGAATGAAAGGAGTATAAAACTGAAAATACGTTATTCTGCTAATGTTTTATTCTTACCATAGTTAAATGCAAATGTTTTATTCTGCTAAGGTATTACAGCTCGATATACTATAATTATTCTTTCACGATCCGATGTCTTTGGAAGTTGGAACCGTGTTGCAATTTCCACCAACAAACATATTACTATTGGTATTAGTTTTCCGTATTAACACTTCACATTATAAAGTTTATCACTGGGAATACTTGTTTACAGCGAAACTTAATGTCTTTTTATGCGTAAAAAGACGATCCTATCTGCTTGAGTAATCTCTGTGTTAACATTAGAGACACGCTCCAATGTTATAGGATCACATTTGTTTTTGCAAAAATTATCTCAACACCCTTTCTCAAAAAAAAACACGTAATTAATGTATCTATTTCTGGAAGTGGAAAATGCCCTCAAGATTCGGAAGGAAACAAAGAGTTCGTCTGTTTTCGCCACCTATCATAATTTAATTTTGTTGTCCATATTCTTTACTACGTCATACTAAATTTTCTTGTCCTTTTCTAATAAAATAATTCCTTAGATTGAGAGTTGACAAAAAATGAGAGATTTGTTGAAAAGGATTGAATATATAGAAAATGAAGGGAAAAACAAATTGTGCTGTAATTAACTCCACAAGTATCATGCACCTTGCATTACAGCTGCCCAACACAATTTTCTTATGACTCAATATCTTATGTTGACAAAGAAACATACTTTCTTTTTCTTTTTTTCCTTTTTTTGATAAAGGTTTGCAAAAGTTTTATTTTCTTCTGATAGATCAAACAGAGAGACATTTATTAGAGTATTTATCTTTATGTTAACTAGTTCTATGTGTCATTTATTCGATGCTATGTTCATTGTCCATTTATGCAATATATGCTCTCTTTGTTGGATCTAAATTAGATCATTTACTTATTGATATTCAGTTTAACATTATTATGTGTAAATTATATATTTAAGTCTAAGGTCAATCATGTCACTTTCAGTTGGGAACAAAAGATATTTCACACAAAACAACTACTACTCTACGTCTCTACCTATCAAGAAAAGAAAAAAATCAAATTGGTCGAATATCTAAATAAAATATGAGGAATATAGAGAAAGAGAACTGTGGGATAAGGCAATAATAAAATAAGTAACTAGTTGTTTTACGTTTTGATCTGTATTATTGGACGAGGACAAAAGGAAAATGTGGTGAGGTTTCATACAATATTTTTGGGGTCTGAAATTTATTTAATATACAACCAAAATAAGATAAAAAAGGCACGACCTTTCCAAGCGCCAAACAGCAGACGTAACGCGGCGGGGCAGACATCCAGGTGGGTACGACCCGGTAAAGTCTGTCGGGTTTGGCTCGCCGTGACGGGTCAGGCCGTGTGACCTTGCGACGCGGAGCCTGACAAGCTACTAAGTTTGGGAGCATGTGGGCTCCATACTTTAACGAACACGTGGTCACGTGATACTTGCATGGCTATTGGCATGTGGCTACCACGACCAACTTTTATTTACAGTTTGATTACTTTGATAAATATTTAATCTGATCTAATTACTAATACCAGCTCCAATCCAGCACATAAACATGCCACAAGTACTTTTAGTTCCACAAAAGAAAGTTTCAATTGTAAGGAACACTCACAAATATTTTGTTGCAAGTAACAAACGACTAATATAATACTCCTATATTATGTTTTTAATTCGAGTTTTTCTTTGTCAACGTTGTTGTTCAATTTTTTAGGAAAGACTATTTGAGTCCTGTCGAATCTTAGTTCGACAAAGGCTTCCCTTCTAATTATATATCCACGCACAGTTACTTTTATTATATTATATTGTTTGGTTACTTTACATTTTGCACCACAGTATATCGACCAATAGGAGAAGTTCCATCCTCTTGTAACCAACAACAAATCACGAGAACTAACCTTTTTTAATCGAATTTCTTCTTTCGATTCATTTCACCTGAAAACGAGAGGTGGGATTGATTCATTTATGGCTTGTTCTTGGGATGACGCAGAAACTTAAATTTGTCAGAACCAAAAAGCTCAGGTGAAAAATATCTAACATCCGAAGGATGTTAGTGCGACAACCAAGCATGAAATTTGCAGGGCATACATATATAATTAAGAAGAAGGATTAGCTCACTTTACCAGCTAATTAGATGTTAAAAAACTCTTGGCGGGCTGGCTAGTATTTTTGTTTTCAAAGCTAACAACTTGCAAGATATATCAAACATATTTTCGGTCATATTCACAAATCATATTGAAAGTTTTAAACCAAGTAATTTGTCATGTTTTTACTAGTTTAAACCCGAAGGTCAATCAAATTAAGGAGCTAATAGAACGTCTCATCAATTTATAACAATATTTTCTCCGAGTTTAGGGGAGTTTGATTAGTTCCAGATGATGTGGGGTTTATTTAAATACAAAGTATATGTACAATTTGTGCCGGCTGATCTTTAGAAGTTTGGCACTCATGTAAAGAAAAAGGTTTGATTGATTTGATCAAATTCTCGAGTCTCGACACAAATTGTTAATTTAACCATATTATCTAGTGTTTCCCATCTAAGAAGGAGTTGCAATATCGATTTAGGTTAGGGATCATTTTCAATCATTCTCATTTGGCCAGTCGAAGTTTCTTTAGGCTCATTATAAAACTCGGTGAATGGACTACTCGACGACCATACACAAAAGTTAGTCGGGTGTTAAAAACCCCTCACCTCTACTTATAACAAAAAGGTTATATGTACAATGGCTTAGTCTCAGTTATATTTTGTTATCTAGTTTGAATGGGTTTTGTATATTCAAGTTTAGAAAGAAAAAAAATCTAAATAAATTGTTAAGAATAAAATTAAGAAGCTTAGTTCATGTGCATCACTAAGTTGAAGGAAAATAATACTAGACTAGTTCTACATGAGATCCACCAGAACTGGAGCTAGATACATAATTACATATATTGAATATTGTTTAACTTTGTGTTAGATATTTTGGGTCTTACAATATCATAGAATCATGAGGTGCATTATCAATCATCCGAGAAATCCAAGCTTCCGTTCTTCAATATATTTTGTGTACTATATATTTCTAGTGTGCAACAAAATTTAAACGAAGTAACATCAAATTATCAGTTTTAATACCAGTCGATACTTAAGTTATCTGTAAAATTTTATATAATGATAATGCAAACAAGTAAATCACTAAAATATACTTTACAGTAGATCACCATATGTGAAGTTTTTGATGATTTTTTTCTGATCTGACTGATAGTTACTATTTGTGATTGGTTAATAAAAACAAAATAAATTAATGAAAAAGTAATTCAATCCCAATAATCTCTATCAAATCATATATGTGGTGAAGTGAATACTCACATTGATTTGGAACTAATGGACGAGTTTGGTTTCAACTTGCATAAGAGGAAACTTATCCGCTATGGCTTATTCTTTTCAAAAATTATTATTGGTGATTTTGTACCTTCTTTTCTCATGGCTGCAGAAAATTGTATCTTTTAAAGACAAAGACATAAAGAAACTGAAAATACTAAAGTCTAAAACTGATTCTCAAATTTTGAATAAAAAATATATCGAACGTAAATACAACGTACACATAATATTTCCAGACTGAAAATTTTAAAGAACCAACATTATATACAAAACAATTTTATCAAACTTATTATGAAACTATTATAACAACTATGCTTCTTGACCACCTAACTTTGGTGACTTTAGAAAAATATACTGTTTAAGCTTAAAAGATCAAGAAATCCTCCTTGATGTTATATTTCATCTTCTCCAAATTCGGCTGAACCGCAAACTGAATCATCGGTGGTGGTCCACAAGCCATCGCAAGTGCCGATCCATCTAAACCATCAGGGATATGTTCCCGTAGAATCGCCTCGGTTATAAACCCGGTACTATAAGCCCAACCTTCCTTAGCCGATTCCACAACGTACCAAACCTTTAACCGGTCCGGATAATTCTCAGCCCAGCTATCCAACTCCTCCCTCAGCAGAATATCTTCTTCGGTTCGGTTCGCGTAAACCAAATACATCTCAGTCTCATCCTCAGGATCTTTCAGAATGGCTTGCATGATTTGGTAAACCGGGGTAATTCCGGTTCCACCCGCCACCATAGCCAGTTTCTCAGCAAACTTCGGTTTACCGTGAACCGTGAAATTACCCTTGCCTAGATACTCAACATGACCCAACGGTCCTTTAATCTCCAAAGTTGACCCGATTGGCAACGAGTCAAGATACTGAGACATGAGCCCACCGTTGGGGAATCTCGGATGGACCCCACCGAAGTAAATCTTGACCACGAGCTCGAAGTAGCCAACCACATCAACGGTGCTGCTTGGAGTGTAAGCCCTGAGGCAGAGCTTGTCGTTGATCGTGGCGCAGAGGAAAATATGCTTACCGACCGGTAAACCAAGAAACATGTCCTCAACCGGTAAAGCAAACCGGAATTTACGAACATCATGAGAAATCGATGTCTTTTCGACGAGTTGAACCGGGACTTTAGCCCGGGGGTTAACCAAAGCGACGTTCCTAACCGGAGCCGCTTCTCCGATCGGAGCCAAGAGCGAGAACACGGCTGAGCCACCGTGAACGGAAGTGTTCGGCGAGGAAGAGTCAGAGGAATAACCGGTTGTGATCAGCTCTCCGATCCTGTAATCCTCAAGCATCTTCTTGGCTTTATCAGAGTGAATTGCTTCAAACTCCTCCGTGCAATCTGTCCCGGCATTGATCAAGATCGAATCCGAACCACCCGGATGGTCTTTAAGGAACTTGGTACAGTCATAGATGTGACCGTGGACGATGATCCAGCAAGAATCTTCGGAATTGTGCTTCTTGACTTCGGACATTGAGTACATCTTCGCGGTGGTGTTCATAAACGGCGTGGAAATGGATTTCTTGAGCGTCGGAGGAGCATCGGCAGATTTCTCCAAGTGACGTTCTTTAGCCATCCATCCACCGGACTCGTTACCCGGCAGCGTCGGGTGCTCGAACACAATCCCGATCTCTCCCTTGTGTGGCTTGCACACATTTGTCTTCACTCTAAACCAACAGTTATTCATCATCCCCTGTTTTACACAAAGTCAATTTCTTTAACCAAACAGTAACTATAAAAAAATAATTACTAAGAGGGTGTTTGAAAACACGTACCATGAGATTCCAGATCATTTTTTCAGGCTGAGTGTTGAGAGTCTCATCCCAAGCGCGAACGGCGATTTCCTTGGCGCCAAGCAGGTCCAAAACCTCAACTTCAAGTGACCAGAAACACCAGCACCAGAACTTGCCGTATTTGTTCGGCTTCTCTTGATGGTCAAGCTCGCACACGTTCCATGTTTCTCCACCGTCCACTGTGACCTCCACACGTGTCACTTTCTTTCCTCCTCCTGTTTTTTTTTTTAATATTATTAATTAATCTTTCTTTCCATTATTTGACACATTTTTTAGTTTAACAATTCTGAAAAAAGAAGATTACCCGAATATGCGTAGCCCTTTAAAGTGTAAGGTCGCTGTGTGGTGAAGGCGTTGATTGGAAGAATCTCCTCGTGACATGGCGTCGTAATCACGGAGTTTATGTTGAGCTCGTTGATTATGTACTCCGGTTTATACCACCATCCTGCCAAAAAAACAAAAAAAACAATTAAATTAAACATTTTCATTATGTAAGTCATAGAAGCTGACATCATCCACCAACTTTCCAATTTTGATATGACTTTTTTTTTTCTCCCTCCTACGGGTTTGGATTTTGGTTATAATAATTTTTTTGTATATTGTACCTTCTTCGTCGGCGAGTTCGGCGTCGACGTCGGAAGGGAGCACTCGGTTGTCCTTGAAATGGTAGAAATTGTCGGATTCTTTAGTGGTGACGATGATACGTTTCAACCACTTAACCATCCGGCCACCGATGAAACCGGGGATGATCATCCGAACCGGAAACCCGTGGTCAGGTGTTAGATACTCTCCGTTTTGCATATAAGCCAAAATGATGTCTCTCGATGGATCCATGGCGTACTCTTTCTTGACGCTCGTTCCGTATTTGGATCCGCCACCGCCGGGAAGATCCTCCGACCCCTCGAAGCAGACGTTAAGAGCGCCGCCTTTCCGGCTAAAGATCCCGCAGCGACGCAGCACGTCGCATAGCGGGACTCCACGCCACACGGAGGTTGAAACTCCGGCGGAGCCCCAGTTGAAGCCTTTCGACTTCTTCACCATGTTCTGCTCCTTCCGGCGGTTTCCCGCGCAGACCAGCGTCGCGGCGAATTCACGGAAGGCGAACTCGGAGACGAGCTGGTCCATGGTGAATTTCATGGGCCGTTTGACGAATCCGGTAACCTCAACGGTCCAGTCGGCCCATTGGGCTTTAGGGACGTGGCCGTGGTTACGGACGTAGTGCAAAGGGACGGGGGTGATAAACCCGTGGTGCATTAGACGGTTGAGAGGGGCCTCGGAGTTGAAAGGATGTTTCCCTGTGAGACGGACCATGGAAGAGTTTCGCTCGATCCAGCTGTCGGCAGTGTATTCGTCCCTCGGATCGTGAATCGACGGCTCTAACTCGCTGTTGGATTTGCGTATCATCTCCTTGTAGTAACCGGTGTCGTTTTCGTCATCGCTTGAGACGTCTTCGTCGTCGTCGTGTACGATGGCCGGTTTAACGAACACGGTTTGGGTCTGGGCTGCGGTGGGGGAGTCGGACCGGGACGGAGGAGCCGGAGGTTTGTAGGAGCGGACGACTCCGTTGAGACCTGGCTCGAGCCGAGCGTATTGGCGATTATCAACAGAAGCCGCCATAGTGGTGGTAGAATTGTTAATAACTCAGGCTTTATCTCTCTCTCTCTCTCTCTTCTCGTGTGAGTGAGATGAGATCTGAGGACGAAAATGCATCGTTGGTGGAGATGAAGTTATATAGGAGAGAGCCTAGTGGTTTGCTTTTCGGAAGTATCGTGGCGAATCATACGTGTGGGGACCATCTGTGACTTTTAAAATAATTTTATCCCTGTTAATTCTTTTGTTCTCGCTATTTATTTATCTTACGACTTAATGGAATTTAATTACCATTCCATTTAGCATTTAATACTTTGACCATTTCGTTCATTAAGAAATAAATGTAAATAAACTACATTTTTTAAGGGATTTGGGATAATTTGGTCTTTTAGATTATTTGGGGTGAATTTAAAAAAGTTGATCTGATTTTAATGAAAACACTCTAAACGATTCAACCTGGAGGTTGGGCAATTTAGAAAGTTGCTACAGTAATATTTCTCTTTTTTGGTCAATGAACAATTACAGCCACCTAATTTCTTTTGTTAAAAAAACAAAAAGACGACTAATTGAGGCCGATGGATCCACGGGTTGAGCAGTTTCAGTGGGTGGGTTCCTTGGTTTGGGCCACGTATATTAGTCTTTTTATTCTACATTTCTACTACAAATGTGAAACTAACACAAATTTTACTATGTTTTTCGGAACATTCGATTTAATATTCTAAAATTTTAAATTTAAAAAACGAAAATTGTTTTCAAAAGTTTGAAAATTAATTTAGACAATTTACAATTAAATAAAAAAAACATTCTATAACATGATTCTCTCAGTTTTGTTCATAGAAATTAAACAATATCCTTGCATACACATCTCGATTAATAGATAAACACCGCTTCAATCATCAATGGACCAACAAAGCCAATATTAACTTGGTATGTGAATTTTTTTTAACATGAATCACAAATCTATTTTTCACGATAACTACTCTAAAAAGAAATAAAAAGAAATGTGAAAATGACAATCAAACCGGCGAAAATAAATAAATAAATAGGTCATTTAAGTTAAAATCTTATAATATATATCAAACGTTTGGATTTTAAATATTATATTTAATTTTAACTTATTTTAAGTTTATAATTTATTGTTATACATGTTTACTTATCACATGCTGATGTGTTAAACAAAGGAAATTGTTTATGACGAATGGGGGGATGAGTGACGTGAAATAACCCGATACTCGATTTCCTCATACCTCAGATTGACAATAAGATAATCAATCAAATTTTACTATATGGTTGTTTGTTTGAGAAAAGCGTTGTTTGTTTTCTTTGGACTTATATTTAGATATATTATTTGTTTTTGTCATTTCTCAACTTGTTTGATTTTTACATTTCTTTTTGGGTCATACAAAAGATTAAAGTATAGCACTCGTCAAATTTGTAAGATATTTTCCCTCAGTTGATCGCTTAACTCAATGATTTAGCTCGCGATTGTTGTCCATAACGTCACTAATCAATCCACCGATCTTCGTACTCGTATTAATTTAAACCGAACTTTAAATATATTTACGTAACACAAAAGCGACAATTATTTATCGCCAAACTATGACGATTCAGCATTGATTTAATATCAATTTCTACGTTGTAACTCTCATATGAAGATTGTGTTTACCTACGCTGGATATTTAAAGACAAAATGGATCTTTGGAGAGAAAGACATGAAAACAAGGTTTTACATAAACGAGCTGATAACTAGTGCGAATGAACGAAACGTGTTGAAGATATGAATATATCAAATATACGGGGGAAATCAGAAGAACAAGTGTAATTTAGAAAGGGTTTGAAACTTATTTAAAACACATATTTTGGAGAAATATTTTTTCTAGATTTTCAAATCTTGGAATGTCTCTAATAATAACATTGGTTAAATTTCTTTATAATTCAGAACTCAGATATATCTAGAGAGTTTCAATAGAAAGTTAGGGTTTCTATTGTTTTACCCAGACACATATTCTTTCTCTATTTCATGTCTTGTTTTGTCAATGTTCTTCTAAATGCTTTGATGCGATGTCAGTTTGATGTGGGATCTTGTTCAGCAGATTCGGTCCAAAAAATCCAAAAAGAAAAACATCCTTAAAATTCCGACAAAGGGAACATTAAAAGTTACGACTCAATAGAAGTAATCGCCGAGCTGAAAGTTAAATCGCGTATTATTTAGGGAACTGAATGCCTTCAAAGAAGCACTTATTTTAATTCTTCCACATAGATAGCTAAGTGAACTTTTTAAAGTCTTCTCATGCACTACCATTTTCTGAAAGCTCGGGTATTATGGAACCTTTGATGGTAGAAAACTTACTTGGAGTAGATTTTAACTTGGCTTTATTCCATGTCATCTACCGCTAGAAGAAAAGGAAATGCCCTCGTGGAAGTGAACAAAGGTTTTGAAGGTGATATCACAAAAGTTTTTTTTTTCTTTTTCCCCAAGATGGAGTTTGTCTTTCTATTGACTTCAAATATTGATAGAGAGACAAATATTGAAAGTTTCTCAGACATGAAAGTTTAGAAGGAACTTTTGGATGTGTTTGATATTTTATATATTTTTTTTAAAAATGTGTAGTACCAAAAATTAGCTTATTTAGTATCTTTTGTGTGTGATACTAACTTTAAAATCGATGCAGCACCGTCTACGTAATTTAACTTTTTAGTGTACGTTTCATAGGAAATTTATCTATTCGAACCTTGACTAACAATCTACGTGATTTGAGTTTCCATTGTTCATTACTTCATTTCCTCCAGCTCTGACTTTTCAGTATCATTTCTAGTCCCACATATTATTTTTTTTGTTTTAATTTTTGTTTGTGTTAAAAGGCCTTCATCGCATATTAACTGTACCTATTTAGTTATATATCTATAAGATTTGTTAGTTTAAAAATAAACTACTGCATGCATCCATAAACTTTTCATCAGTTTCTTTTACGCCATGATAGTGATACCACATTATCAAAACTACACCCAAAGATTTAATTACTCAATGTAGTTTGTCGGAGATAAAATCTGACCCGGTGAAATAAGTATATTTTTTCGGTTGATGTGCGTAATGCGTAACCATTCTCATTTCAGAGTAATGTGCGTTATTATACCATGTAGAATTAGAAATGTTAATTTTTATCACAAAAATGTAGAAATATTAACATTAATGAGAGAAAGACAATGAAGTTAATTAAAATTTCAGACAAAAAAAGCCCATGTTTTGATTACTCATTGACCGTTGGAAACTCCATGCGCCACTTCACATTTATTTGGCTCATAGTGTTTCTTTCGACATTTTAATTTTTCTTGTAGGGACATAATATTTTTAACTTTCACCAACAATTAGTTGCCAAAACTTCGCCTTAATACAAAAGCAAATTCGGTTATTAATTTAGGTGTTCTTCTTTTGTTAATTTACAATTTACTAAAGAGTACCAAACTCTAGAGAATCTAACCATTTAAATATTTGATGCAAATTATTACGCTTAATGGCTTATAATAATGTGCTATGCTTTTGATCGGCACATGTATTGATCTCTACAAATCGGTGGGTTACTTTACTATCATATGGGGTAATTGATGACTTAGAGAATTTATATATTGTGTATACCCTGGAACCTAATTTGCGGTTTATTTGGATACAATTTGTTTTTCTTTTCTCTCTAAAACCCCTGATTTAACAATATTTCATTAGAAAATATAAAAATTAAAATTGGTATGTTTAAATGCCTTCTGTACATTTTTGGTATGGTTGTGATATGACTAGAAAAGTAACAGTTTCTTAAAAATGATTTAGATTGGAGAAAGAAAGGAGCTTTGGTGAATATTTGAAAGAAGAATTTCAAAGAGTCAAAAAAGAGAAGGGGAAGCTAACAACTAGGGACGGCTAATAAAAGAGAGAAAAGGTAAACAAAACTTAAACAAATGTGGCCTTTTGTTGAACCTTTGAGCCATCTTTGTGTAGCTCTCTCCTCTTGCCTTTGCTAGAAAATTCCAAAACTTCCAACTCTAAAATATTTTCAATAAAACAAGCAAAGAGAAAATATTCCATTTTGCTTGTTTTTCATTAGATAAGTTTCGCATAATGAAGTGGGGCTTTGTAACTAACTGTGTGATTGTGGAGAAGATTGAGCATTATTAAAAGCGTAATATTTATTCATTCATTCAGCTTACCGACCTTCTTGGTTGTTTCACATTTTTGGTTACAGCATACATTTTATGTCACATTGGAAAGTTGGGGACTGCTATCCTTCATACCCTATTTTTTGTTTCATTTAGTTCACAAATGATAATTTATAACCATGCAAGCAGTTCGATACTTCTTTAACAACAATATTTAATGCAAGTGTTCGAGACACTCAATTGCTACACATATACGATATCTAATAGAGTGAACGAGGTGTGTGACAGCCGCCTCCGGTGACACGGCCGAGACGGCCTCTCGAGTCTCGCAGTCGGATCCTAGGATGCTTTTCACACAAAATCCACTAACAAGTATATGAACATAACTCCTATCTTTCCAATTTACTAGAGGAGGGAGAAAAAAGAGAGATGAGTAATTTAGATTATCCACTGTAAATGAGGAGGTATAAACTACAAATTCACCTTAACGAATGGCTAACAGAACATTTGCAAGCCTAGACCTAAAACAAACAGCAAATCCCCTCGATACACAAGCATAAGTAAGGAATCTACCCACCTTACCTCACCATGCGGTCTGAAACCGCCTACATGTCTAGAGCACCACACTATCAATCACATCAAACAAACATTTCACACAATACCGGTTAAGGTACCTATCTCTTAACACATGCTTACTTGGTTCCATGTTCACAATCAGCAAGCAACAATGCACACCAAGCACTTAACACAGTTCTCGGTTTTAAAGTCGTCATATGATATAGGCTTCATTCGTATGAGTTGTGCTAAGAAACAATCAAGCCCTAGCATGCAAATCTAACTATATATAGTACGTAGTCCATCATAATTCATAAAAAGCTAAATAAAATTAATATTGTTCTGACTTGATTCTCTTTTAACAGTTCGCAGTGGAACTCTTAGTCTTAGTGGATCCGATACACTAATAAGTATTATTAGGATAGCTTATGGATTTGCAGGATTATTTTCGACACTCCTTATATTGGATAGAGCGGATATGAACAACAATCTCATTATGAGACAACGTTTTATGTTGAGATGATTGTCATTAAGAGTCATATATTATGCTTTCTCGACAAGAAAAAAAAAAAAACACTAAAACTTTGAAAATAGTAAAATAAAGTAAAAGAAGTACAAAATGGATCGATCCTGAAAAAGAAGAAGATTGTGATTTGTGTGATTTTTGACGTACATGCATTTCCTTTTTTTTTTTTTTTTTTCTTTTCTGTTTCGTTTAATTTTTTTTAAAATATATTAAAATATCAATGAAACATGCGAAATAAGCCAAAAGAAGTTTCACTTCATGAGATCTTGTGGCATCCAGAGATTTTGGGCGAACCATTTGCCAACCAAACAAAGTACTATTTTGATGGCTGCACGAATTTTGATAGGCAAAATTATATATAACCACAAAAAAGATCTCAACCTCACCACATCCACAATAAATTAAGCATTTTATTTTCCAAATTATCTGAAAAATCTTGTTTCTTATCATTTCAAATCTACTCGGTTTTAGGTTTTATATTCAAACATAATAACACCTTCTTTCTTTTTTTTTTTTTTTTTTTTTTTTTTTAATGTTGAGATTCTAACATAACATAATATGTGAAACAATCTTCTATGTAAATATAAATTAGAAGGATACATTTAAAATATTAATACTATTTACCAAAAAACATATTTGAGCGATATGATAATGTTTTTTTTTGTTCTTCTAACGACACATAGGAAATATTGTTCAATAAATTAGTTACTTCTATACCGTTTTGACATTATATGAAAACTAAAAATGTAACTTAATTATATTACTTCAGAAAAAAAAATTGTTTATGAACTAAATAGACACTATAATCATGAATTTATTTTGATTTCAACAAAGTTGAAATTTTCGGAAAATATTTTTTTAAGAAATCAAAATTGTAATTTTTTACTAATAAAATATAATTTTAAACATAGAATATGTTATTTTTCATCTTATCTATTTCTATCAACAACTTTATATTAATCAAATTGGTTCATAAATCCAAGCAATAGATGAGAGTTCATGTAACATCCTGATGTATACGATGATGTAGATCCTTATAAGAATTGAGATAGCTAATATATAGTAATATGTCAGTGCACCTAATGGTATCTGAAGGAATTCTCTTGATAGAATCGTTAGATATTTGTTAGACTATAACAAAACAGAAACCATGTGTGAGCATAGAGACAGATTCAAAAATTGTCTTCTCAATGGGGTAAAAGGCATCGAGGAAAAAAAAATCTGGCATCATTAGTTCAGTCTGCATACAATGTGGCTCCTTAAAGGGAAAGGTTGAGAAAGTTTCGACCTCACCCGCAGATGACAAAAAGAAAAAAGAAAAAAAACTAATCAGTTATTTTCTCCGGTCTGAATAGATTCTTGGTTAAATTTTTTTGAAAAGTAATCACAAATGTCTAAAATGATGTCTTTAAACAAAAGTGTCTACGAGAAATGAAATTATATTGGTCTAAGTGGTGTGATAATTATAGTGGACGAAGATACCTTGAACTTGAACCATCACATTCTTTATACGTCTCTATATTATCACTATGTGATGCTAATGTAGCCTGTCTAGATGGAAGCTATATGTTAATTTGTATGTAGTAGTACCCTATCAAATAAAGATTACTTCATTGTAATCGTCCCAAGTGGAATGCAATAGTGTGGACCGTTTGCACGTAGCAGCATATCAGTATGTGTTACCTTATCTTATAATTTTTCATTTTCAGAATGCTTTTGCAATCCTACAACATATTTATGACTGAAAGAAAGTGGATCGGTGGAGAAGAAAAACAATTGAGCTAATCGAGTTACAATGGCCCAACTAAATAGACTACAGCGTTTCCGAGTAGAGCCCATCTTAAAGCCCAGTCATAACACGACTCATTTTAAGCCTTATCATTTTTTCCAAGTAAAAAATCGATTTAAATTTACTTTCACTTTGATATTTAAAAACTAATTACCGAATTGGTTACTTACATTGAAATGGTGAAATTTCGTCTTGTTCGCGTTACAAACATGATGAGAATGAACAATACGAAAAAGGTTGATGGGCCCATCTAGGGATCGTTGGGCCTATGTGTACACCTACGTACCAGAATTTAACTAGATTCAAATTAAATCAAGCAAAGAGCAAAAATAAAAGACCACATCCGAAATGAATTAAGCAGAATTAAATTTGATTTTTATTATTGTTCTAAAGGGGAGAGGAAAAAAAGGTTGTTGTTTCTTCATACGTTTCGTTCTTCCAATTGTGTATTCCCAAATAACACACAGAACAAATTAACAAAATTTTCTCGCCTCCTTTCTTCTACCACTCTTCCCTTGTCTCGCTCCCATCGCGCAAAAACCCTAATTTCCTCTTCTCTCATCTTCTTCCTTCTGATTCCATCAATTCCCTCTTTCGTGTCTCCTTCCTATTCCATCGCGCTCGCTCTCGCTCTCTATCCTCCCTGTATCGCGTTTTGGCAAAACTTGTCGTTTCCTCGTGTGGGTTGGAAGGAAAGCCATTGGTTTCGATTGAGCGATTGCATCTACGAGACGCCTGTTTCCTGCGTTTGGACGAACAATCTCATTTACCGGTTAGGGTTTTGGTGTCTCCTCTTTCTCTCTCAATCGTCTTTTCCTCCCTTTTTCCACACCCCTTGCCGTTTTGCCTCCGCGGTTTCGAGTTTAGGTTTTGTTGATGCTGGTTTGAGCGGACTCTTATCGCTTTCTATAGCCGCCTTTGGCTGATTTTTAATATTGCCACTGATGAAGAATAGAGAGAGCGAGAGAGAGAGATAGAGAGATATGCGTTAGGTGTTAGGGTTTCTTCTTTGGTTTCCATCACTGGAATTGAGCCTGTGGCATTGAACCTGCTTATAGGTGCGAATTAGGTTGTGAGTGATGTTCTAATTGTCTTCTTAGCCATCTGTGTGAGAGATGGAAGTGTAGAAGTTGTGAAGCTCATTTGGATTTGAGTTTAACAATCCTGAGGGATTTGGATTTGGGTTTCTGATGGATAAAGGTGAACCTTCTCTGGTTCCCGAATGGTTGAGAATTTCTGGTGGTGGGAGTTCAAATCACCTTCTCGTATCATCTTCTTCTCACTCAGGTTTGTTCTAATTGATAGTTTTCTTGATCGTAGCCTCTTTAACTATTGTTTGATTCCTCAGAAATGTAACAGTTTCTTGTGTTGTCTTTTGTTTAGATTCTGCATCGTTGCAAAATAATAGCAGGAATAGGAACTCTAGGAGCAAAAGTGATGTTGATTCAATTCATTCTCCTTTTCTGGATCGATCTTCTTCTACTAATTCAAGGAGGGGCACTAGTAATGGCACTGGAGGAAAGCATGCATATAGTAGTTTCAACTTCAATAGGAGTCAAAGGGATAAGGACCGCATGAGGGAAAAAGATAGAAGCTATGTGGATCAATGGGACCTTGACACTTGCATCCCTCTCAGAAATATCGTAGCTGGTAGGGATCAGGATCAATTGCGACGATCACATTCAATGGTGACGAGAAAACAGGGAGACCACCTCTCTCGAGGATTTACAGTCGGCTTGAAAAATGGTGGCAGTAGTACTAGTTACAATGGAAATGGCATACTTCCTGGACCTAGCATCGGGAATAGCTTTCAGAGGACTGGGTTTGATAAGGATTTTCCCTCGCTTGGAGCTGACGAGAAGCATGGTGGGCAAGACGTTGTACGAGTCTCGTCTCCTGGTTTAAGTTCTGCTGTTCAGAGTTTGCCAGTTGGTAACTCGGCTTTGATTGGTGGGGAAGGTTGGACCTCGGCTCTGGCAGAGGTTCCCAATGTCATCGAGAAGGCTTGCGCTGGGTCATTAACTTCTCCGAAAGCTAGTATTGTTAGCAGTGGAACTTTACCTGGACCAACAGGTCTTAACATGGCTGAAGCATTGGTGCAGGCTCCAGCAAGAACTCACACCCCTCCCCAAGTAATGATTTTTGCATTCAGCTTCGTGTAGCTTTTTATTGTACACTTTTTCCATTCTCCTTATCTAAAGATTGTTTTCAGGGATCTGTGAAGACACAAAGAGAGGACTTGGCGATCAAGCAGTCTAGGCAGTTGATTCCGGTTGTTCCTTCAGCGCCGAAGGTAAGTATTCCCCTTTGTTAATCTTATCATTCCTCTACCAATCTTGTACGACAATCAATATCTGTTTTATTTGATTTGGTCAGATTCTGAATTCGTCTGATAAATCCAAGATAAAACAAGTGGTTCGAGCTGGTGAAACTTGTCTCGCTCACACGAGAAACTCCCAGCAGCAGCCATCTGTCCTTCTCGGCAATTTCCAGTCTAATCCCAGTGGTCAAATCAAATCAGAGAAGAAGCTGTTGGTTCTTAAACCGGCTAGGGAAAACGGTGTGGCTGCTGTTAAAGAGTCTGGGAGTCCTAGTGGTAATCCAAACAGCAGACCCGCCTCTAGCCAGCTAATGAACTCTGCTCAATCAACACAATCTGCCCCTGTGAGAAGTACAAACAGCCCAAAGGAGCTCAAGGGAGCTACTGCCTTTACCATGACATCTAGCCAAACCATTGAAAAGAAATCTTCTTTAGCTCAAACTCAGAGCAGGAATGCGTTTTACAGTGCCCTGAAGCGGAAATCTACATCAACGAGCATCTCCAGCGATTCCGTTAACTCCACAGCCAATTGCATCTCTTCTTCGGTTGAGGAAAAGGTCGACAGCTCAAAGGAGCTTGTAGCTAGTGACTCTTCAAGTCCACAGGCTACAAGTGGTGTAGAAGTGACTCAAAGGAATAGTATTGGCTTTGAGGAAGCAGATACTCCAGATGAGGAAGAAGCCGAGTTCCTAAGATCACTTGGCTGGGAAGAAAACAATGGCGAAGATGAAGCTCTTACGGAAGAGGAGATTAAAGCCTTTTTTGAACAGGTAAAAAGACAATATTCCTAGTGACTATATCTCATTATCTTATGACTTGAAAATAGTAACAATGGTTGTGTTCTTTGTGATGTTGTTTTTACAGTACGAGATGTTGAGGCCGGCACATACGCAGAAACTGTCCGTGATACAAGAGGCAAGAGAAGATGTAGCTTAAGAGAAACGTGAAACCAACCTTACAAACTGAAGAAAGTACTGGTTTTTTTACCACCATGGAAGATAGTTTTTTCTAATTTTCTTTTTGTCTTTTGGTTTCTTTTCTTTTTCCTTTGAGAAAAGCTGGCTACTACTTTTGGCAAATGGAAGAGGAGAAAGGCAGGAGGGTTTTGTTTTGTGGGTTTTGTTTGATGGGTTAGCAAATAGTGCAAATAAGCTTTATTATGAAGGCTTGAGTTTGCCATATGAGTGTCCTTGTCCTCTTCAGACTTTGTAGATCTTTGGTCTGGAAAAAAAATGGCTCAGCTCTCACACAGATGTTTCTTTCTCTTTGCCAATCTTCTCTAGTCTTTATTGTTTGATGAGGAAGAGTATTGGCACTTGATGTGTGGTAGAATATATGAAAAAAAGCAAAAGTGATTGGAAATTCTTAAATAAAAAAAAAATTGTTACATAGCCAAATCAGTGAATTACAATGGTCATCGAATTGATGTACTGTAAAACAACATAAAATCCACAAAACAAAACCCACAAAAAAGTTCACGATTAGTCCATGTTCGTTTGCAATTAACTTTAGATATGTAACATGCTTTATACTACATGTGAGATTCTCAAATACTGTATATTTTTTTTAATACTTTAGAATAAGAATAGGAGAGATAATGACAAACATGACTACATCTTCATCGGAAATGCTTACATTGACAGTTTCCATACTCAAGAGCTCATTTATATTATTTTGTTTGGTATCTTGTCTAACATCGTATTTCTGAGACAGTTCCAACATCTGACTGAAAAAATAAACCAAAGTATGTGGATAGAAAATGTTGTAACACGTTTAATCAAAATACCGAGCAGAGCTCGCGACAATGTAACGAGTTTGGAGTCCAACTTGCAGTCTTGTACTAACAATGGCTCTTCAATAACATTCACAAAATGTTCACGATTTTCTTCTATCCATCCTTTTTATATAACTTAGCCCAAGCTTGGAACGACAAAGTTCAACACAGACACACACCAACGCAACCGAGGAATCTAGCAAACTAGACCAGACAACACACGAGAATTTACAAAAGTAAGAAGAAAAGAGAGGCACTTGTAAGTTGTCACAACATGTATATCTGATTCCGAGATCAAGTATGAGCCAAGTTACTCTGAATGCGATGTCCAATACATTAGCCCACTGCCAAAAAAAAGTTGTAGTCAGTGTCTAATGTCTCATTGCAAGTTTTATTCAAGGTGCAAAACGAAGACAACCAAATTCAGATGACTAAAGATCGTAAGACTCAGTAAACTTCATTCACAAAAGTTTTGGTGATTCTTCTAAAACTATTTGAAGAGTGTAGAAATGATTTACCTTATCAACACGAACACACATTGAAAGACACCAGCCACGCCAGTCCAGGTGGAAGGCCCGGTCTTCACGACCGAATCTTGAATCAGCAAACCAACAGAAGCAGCTAAGGAAACAAACGCTACCACATACGCTATGAAAAGCCATAGTTTCAATCTGTTTCAAGAATCCATATACACACATACATTAAAGTCAAAATCAACAACACCTTATGGATCGTCCTATAAATCTCAGCTAAAAACTCCATTTCCAATAAGAAGATACCACACAAGCTATCTATACTTTCCACATGAGTATTAAACAAGAAGTAACAAAGACAAAGTTCATGATTTGAAGATGAAATCAATCCAATGAAACTATATGCACCAGTCACAAATCTCAGCTAAAACTTGATTTTCAAATAAGAAGTACCACAAAAAGATATATCAATCATTTTCTTCTACTTTCCATATAAATACAGATTATAAACAAGAAGCAATAATAACAAAGTTCTTCAGATTAAGTCAATGATGTTCAAAAGAAATCAATCGAAGAGAGCGATGAAAGCTAAACCTCCATTCGCCTTCGTCATAAGGAGAGTAATCGATGTCTTCTTTTCTGACGCAATTGAACATCAATGCTCCGAGAGATGCGAATATGCCTGCGAAACCCCCAAATCCAAAAAAAAATCGGTCAAATTTTAGAAAACCCTAAATCACAGGGGTTACTGGAGAGACGAGATGAGATGGATGAATTTACCGGGAAGGTAGTGAACGAAGGGAACTTGGATGGAGCTGCAGACTACGGCGTCGACCCAGAACCACCAACCGGTTCCGAAAACGGCGCCGGAGAAACCCGGCCCGAAAATCGCCCACAATTCAGCCAAATCCATCGCTCGATTGATCGTCAAAATATTAGATCTACCTCTCGCGCGATACAGTGAAAATTTTGAGAATGATAATGAATTTTGTCGCTGATTGTTTGTGTCAAATTATTATCTTAATAATTCATATAAAAAATTATTATTGTTATGGGCTTGGTTTTCGATTCTGGTTATCGATTAACCGGGTGGAGACTAACCGAAATATAGTCGATACAGAAAAATATAAAACAAAACATCACAAAAACTGATCGAGAAGACGAGAAAAAACAGTTGACCACTCCAAAATAATCTTAACAAGAAGAAACCCTTATCTTTTCTGATACAGTTTTACTAATGTAAATTAAGTTTAATTAATTTAGTTCTTTGTAACTTTAAAGAATATAAGAACTTGTAAACAGTTCACAAAAAAAGAAAGAAAAAACTTATTAAGAACCCTTTATTCTGAGTATCTCATGGAGATGCTATGAGCAATGTCATGTCACTCTATGTTCATGTATGTTAGGTGACGTGTGTCCTCAACCGCACAATGCTTTATAACAATAAGCCTAAGAACTCATGACATTAAACGAAACATGATCCTTTGGTAGAAAATTCTGCGTTACAGAGGACAGTTTAAGAATTGACTTAGTCAGCAAGTAACTTTAGGGCTTCATTAGTAACGAAAGAAGCATGAAACAAGATCATCGAGGAGGTTTTGTAGCCGACGTCTTTGCTTTCTCCTTCTCTATATCCTCCAACAACTCAGCAAGTTCTTTATGCAACCAATCCAAGTCCAACTCCAACCCCGCATCTGTCATGAACTTAACTTTCTTGGTTTCCGTCACTGTTGACATTGTAGTTTCTTCAGTTACACTAACGCCAATAGATTCAAAAAGGTCTATCTTGGCAACAATCTTGAGCTCCCCGTTAACTAGAAATCCGCTATCTTGGGCCACAAGTTTGTCAAGAGGAAGGATGAATGTATGATCCCAGAAGTGAGCGTTCTCATTATACCAAGCTTTTATTACTGTAAAACCACAAAAACAGTCTTATAAAAAAAACTACACTGACTATGATTGATTTTTTTAATTGTATTTGTCATTAATGATAATTTGGGACAGACACTCATGCAAAAGGACATCAGTGGGGAAAAATAAATCACGTACCACAATCTTGTTGCAAATTTTTATCCGGATCTTGATGATTTAGTATTGTTAGGTGATATCCTGCATGTCTTCTCCATCCAGGTGGCAATGATTCATAATCGTGGACTTTCAGAAACAGAGACAAGTAATTATCTTCATCATCGCCTATGGGAGAAGCTTCAAGAGACCTATAAGAAACACGAAATAAAGGATAAGCACATGCTATATGGATTGTTATAACTGAGCCAAAACACACTTTGAAAACCTTACCACTTGCAGCCACCGACGACGAATGGATCAGAATGAATACTCTCAGATTGAAACGAGGGGAAATTCTTTATCACCCAAGTGATCTTCTTCGATTCCTTTGGAATCAAATCAGCTTTGCCATAAAATCTTCGACTACCTGGAAAATTAGTTATCTTAAAAATGTTGAATCATAAACAAAAAATGGAAAATAAGAGAGATAAACATAAATCTTCGTTGTATAGTATTATTCAAATCATAAACTGTAATTAAGAAAAAAAAACTAATCATACAAACCAGACTATTTACATATATATATAAGAAATAAAAAAAGTACAAAACCCTAAACACCATAAAGTAAAAAGGAAGTGAAAGTCTTGACATATTTACCGTAACGATCAATCAAGCACGCCTTGCTCTCCCGCGCAAACCGAATTCCCCTGTTCGTCGGCGGCTTAATTTGGTAGCTGTGATAAACCAAATCAGTCAAACCTAAGATTCCTACTGAAACCCTAAGTGACTAATATACGAAATTCATAAGCTTAAAAGAAAACCTGTATAAAGGAAGACCGGGTGACTGTGAGCTACTGAAGTGGCGGACGATGGCGATGGCGCCGGAGGTGAGTGGCGTCTGACTAGCTGCGGAAAATTGAAGCTTGTTGAATGTACGAACTGGAGTGCTGAACTCGCGGACGCCGGTGGTAGTAATAGACCTAGAGGTGGTGGCTGCGGTGGTGCCGGCCAACATTAGAGGCAGAGCTGCGTACAGTGGACGGAGATAGTTAAGGGACGTAATGGCGGTGTGACCGTTGAAGCTTGAACAGGCGATTTGGTTCATCTTGTAACTGTAATTGGGAAGAAATAACAGAAGATAACGTAGACACAAGCTTTAATTTATGGGCTTTGCATGATATAATAATCTTATTTAATAATTAGTACTGTATAACGTTTTGGAAATTATCCATATTCACTCACCATACTTTCTTATACTAACCGATTTGCTTTTTTTCAGCAAGTAAGTTAGCTTTACTATTTGTTCACCGAAACCTAGGGACTTCTGATACAAGAAGAGTAAATTACTATAAATGTGGTGCGTAGAGACAACCAAAGCATCAAACAACATAATCCAATGAGAGAGGAAAATTGGCGGCCAACACATCTGGTTCTTGATCTTGAGAGAGTATTTGTTAATACCACCCCAAGAATCAACAAAAAGCGCTCTAATGTAAAAACAAATATGATCACGATCGACTAATGTATTTAGTTTGAGATTTTTAAATATTATATATTATAAAAGTTGAGCACTAATCTTAAGTTTCGTACCTGTGAAGGAAACACTCGAGACCCATTGACATAATGACATCCATGGTTCTTTGTGAAACTCACTAGATATGGCTCCATCATCATTTATCTTTACCTTTTTCACAGGTTGGAAGCAAACTCATCTACTAGACACTTATTTTTCAAGTTAACACAGTACAGGAACTCTGCTCCAATGCATTAAACATCAATGTTTTATAACGTTATAGGATACTAAATCAAATCACAAAACTGAAACACCCTATACTCAAGATTAGGCATTTGGCTTGATCAAAAGTAGAGTAGAAGATGGGAGAACAATAATTCAATTCAATTGTAGAAGTTATATTCTATACCATTCTGAAGAATCATGCTCAGTTGTATATTCGAAATATGAATTATAATTTCCAGAATCTTGAAGATGTATCTAAGATTTATATATGGGATGCCATTTTCTACCTAAATCACACTCTCAAAATACATCTTCAAGATTTTCAAAATATTGATATTTATACTTTCACTGAAAAGCTGAGTATTCTAAATGTGCGTGCTCCATCTTGAGGGGACGAGAGGAAAGGGGTATTAGTGTAGATTGCCTAGAACACAGTTTGGCCATTCCTTATAATGTAGGCTTGCTCCATTTTCCGTGGAGAGAATATTTTGAAAATATAGAATTTTATACATTTTGATCATTTTACCTTAGTCTTTTGTAAGTTGTAACTAGGTTAGGTTAAACGCTTTGTTGAAATAGAAAGAACACCAAGTAAGTATAACAAACAAAACCCCCAAGTCTGTAATTAAGAAGGCAAAAACATTAAACAAGATCATCGAATGAGAGAGGAAGTTTTGTAGCCGACATCTTTGCTTTCTCCTTCTGTACCAGAGCTTCCATGTCTGAACACTTCATCTTCAAGCTCTCCAACTCGTTCTCCATTTCTTGCAGCTGAGTCTCACAAACCTTCTCTTTCTCCTTGATTTCACACAACTCATCAAGTTTTTTCTGCAACCAATCCAACTTAAACCCTGCATCTGTCATGTACTTAAGAGCAGCATGCGCACTCGTCATATCATCTTTAGAGAGCTCCTGAGGCGACTGGCACATAGTCTCAATAAGATTGAGCAAAAAACTCAAGTAACCTGTCCTAAGTTTTGGATTCGTTGCACGGAGTTCAGATGCAAGCTCTGGGTGTCTTTCAAACACTCTGCTCATAGTTTCTGCCTGCGGTTGAAAATTACAAAACAAAGCATATCAAATAGCCGTTCTTGGAAACAACACAAAAGCACACCATATGTTTATTTTAGAACACATGTCTACTCATTAACATCATTGATTTTCTTACCTGAGAAGGAAGAAGTAGAAACCCTTTAACATTTTCCGTCACTGTTGACGTTGTATTTTCTTCAGTTACATCTAATTTGCCAATAGCTTCAAAAAGACCTACCCTGGCAACAATCTTGAGCTCCCCGTTAACCAGAAATCCGTTATCTTCGGCCACAAGTTTGTCAAAGGGAAGAATGGATGTATGACCCCTATAGTTAAACCATCTCATCAAACCAAACTTTTCTTCCTGCAAAACCACAAAAACAGAATTCTTCTTATAAAAAACCTACATCGACTATGATTGTTTTTTGTGTGTGTGTCATTAAAGTTAATTTGGGAAGGACATCAGTGGGAAGATAGAAATCACCATCCAGTTGTATATTTTTATCCGGATTTTGATTTAGTATTGTTAGGAGATATCGTGCGTGTCTCCTCCATCCATGTGGCAATGATTCATAATCGTGGGCTTTCAGAAACAGAGACAAGTAGTTATCTTCATCATCACCCATGGGAGAACCTTCAAGAGACCTATAAGAAACACGAAATAAAGGATAAGCACGCACAGCTATATGGATTGTTATAATTTAACCAAAACACACTTTGAAAACCTTACCACTTGCAGCCACCGACGACGAATGGATCAGAATGAATACTCTCAGATTGCAACGACGATATATTCTTTATCACCCAAGTGATCTTTGTAGATTTCTTTGGAATCCGAATTCCACTATATTGGTAGCTGTGATAAACCAATCAGTCAAACCTAAGATTCCTACTGAAACCCTAAGTGACTAAGATTCTCGTTCAAATTTTCCACAGCGCATACGAAATTCATAAGCTTAAAAGAAAACCTGTCTAAAGGAAGACCGGGTGATGTGAGCTACTAAAGTGGCGGACGATGGCGATTGCGCCGGAGGTGAGTGGCGTCTGACGAGCTGCGGAAGATTGAAGCTTGTTGACTGTACGCACTGGAGTGCTGAACTGGCGGACGCCGGTGGTAATAGACCTGGAGGTGGCGGTGGCGGTGGCGCCGGCCAATATTAGAGGCAGAGCCGCGTAAAGTGGACGGAGATAGTTAAGGGACGCAATGGCGGTGAGACCGCCGGAGCTTGAACATGCGATTTGGTTCATCTTGTAACAGAAAAATAATCTAGACACAAGCTTTAATTTAGTATAATTTTTTTTGGAAATTATCCATTGCTTTTTCAGCAAGTAAGCTAACTTAAACTATTTGTTCACCGAAATCAGGAGGGGGACTCTGATACAAGAAGAGTAATAAATAACTACTCCCTCTGTTTCATTTTATAAGGGTTTTAGGGTTTGGAACAAAAATTAAGAATATATTTAATTTTTTAAGCTTTCAAAATAAAGTATGTTTTATTATTAATTATAATACAAATCAACCAATGAAAAAACAATCTGCATCGTTAAAAGAGTAAAAAGCAACAAAAATATATTTAATTTTGCATAAAAACCTCAAAACACCTTATAATATGAAAAAAAAGGAACTCTAGAACCCCTTATATTGTGAAACAGAGGGAGTATAAACTAATAGAGGACCCGTGCAAACGCGCGGTGTGACGTTTCGATTTTGTGAAGAAAATATAAATCCTAAACCTGAGCCCAACCCAAAAACCCTAATCAAACGTTTTTAATATGTCTAAACCCGAAAATTCAAAATTCAAAAAATCTCAAAAACCCTGAACTGAATAAAAAAAACTCTAATTTTTTTGACCCAAAACCCTAATCAAAATTTGAAAATACTCAAAATTTTATAATATGTCTAAATCCGAAAACCCGAAATCCAAAAAATCCGGAAAACCCTGAACTGAACAAAAAAAAAAATCAAATTCTAACCAAACAGAAATTTAAAAAAAAACTCTAACAATTTCTATATACCTATAAAATTAGGTCTGGAATTTTATCCAAACAAATTTGTTTAGAAAAACCCAAACGAAATCCGATTCATTTTTTTAAAAATTGTTTTAATTTATTATTCTTCTATCCAAATAACTTTTTCTATTATTCTTTTATCCAAACATTATAATATACTAAATTGACCCTTATTAAATCTGTTGCCAAATATTTGCTCTTCATAATTAGATTGGTTTTTTTATAATAAATTTTTCGTATACTAAAAAGATTTGGTGCGAAGACACAACCAAAACATCAAAAAAACGCAATCGAACGAGAGAGGAAAATTGGCGGCAAACACATCTAGTTCTTGATCTTGAGAGAGTATTTGTTAATGCCTAACCCAAGAATCAACAAAAAGCGCTCTAATGTAGAATCATATGATCATGAGCGACTAATGTATTAAGTTTGAGATTTATATATTAGAAAATTTGAGAACTAATCTTAAGTTTCTTTACCTATGAAAGAAACAAAACTCTGCTAATAAACACTCATTTTTCAAGTTAGCACAGTACAAGAATTCTGCTCCAATGCATTAAACCTCAATGTTTATAACGTTTTAGGATATTAATACAAATTACAAAACTGAAACACCTTTTAGATGTTATAGTGTATACCAGAATCTTATACTGTGCACAGGCCCGTCCCTATGGGTGTGCAAGGAGTGCCTAAGCACAGGTCCACTATTTTCTTGTTTGTTTTTTTATTGTATTTAAGGGTCCTCAATTTTTAGAATTATACAATAAAAGGTCCAAATTTCGAAATTTGCACACATACACCACTAAAGGTTTTATATTTATCAGTTTGGCACAGGGCCCAACTTTAGTTTGGGCCGGGCCTGACTGTGCAAACCATTTCTTCACCGAAACCAAAGGGGCAAACCCTACGAGCTTCTTTGATACGTTTATCCATAAGTAAAGTCTAGGAGAAGAATTAAAAAATCTCACCCAAGAAATAAATACTTGCAAACGAAAAATTGCAAGACCCTAATTAAGAAGGCAAGGACACTAAACAAGATCATAGAATGAGAGAGGAAGTTTTGTAGCCGACAGCTTTGCTTTCTCCTTCTGTACCAGAGCTTCCATGTCTGAACATGCCATCTTCAAGCTCTTCAACTCGTTCTCCATTTCTTGCACCTTAGTCTCACAAACCTTCTCTTTCTCCTTGATTTCACACAACTCATCAAGTTTTTTCTGCAACCAATCCAACTTAAACCCTGCATCTGTCATGTACTTAAGAGTAGCATACGCACTCGTCATATCATCTTTAGAGAGCTCCTGAGGCGACTGGCACATAGTCTCAATAAGACTGAGCAGAAAACTCAAGTAACCTGTCCTAAGTGTTGGATTCGTTGCACGGAATTCAGATGCAATCTCTGGATGTCTTTCAAACACTCGGCTAATTAATTTTGCCTGCGATTAAGAAATACAAAACATGACATATCAAAGATCGTCGTTCTTGGAAACAACACAAAAGCACCACATATATATTTTATTTTTAAAGACATGTCTACACATTAACATTATTGATTTCTTACCTGAGAAGGAAGAAGTTGAAACCCTTTAACATTTTCCGTCACTGTTGACGTTGTAGTTTCTTCACTTACATCTAATTCGCCAATAGCTTCAAGAAAATCTATCTTGGCAACAATCTTGAGCTCCCCATTAACCAGAAATCCGTTTTCTTCGGCCACAAGTTTGTCAAAGGGAAGGATGGATGTATAACCCCTGGAGTAAGCCTTCGTCTTGTAAATAAACTACATCAACTATGATTGTTTTTTTGTGTCATTAAAGATAATTTGGGAAGGACATCATTGGGAAGAAATAAATCACCATCCAGTTGCATATTTTTATCCGGGTTTTGATTTAGTATTGTTAGGAAAAATCGTGCGTGTCTCCTCCATCCAGGTGGCAGTGATTCAGAATCGTGGACTTTCAGAAACAGAGCCAAGTGATTGTCATCCAAAATGCCCTTGGGATAGGTCTGATAGGCTTTAAGAGACCTATAAGAAACACCAAGTAAAGGATAAGCAAAGCTATGGATTGTTATTGAACCAAAAGGTCCACAACTATTGGAGATATCTTGGTGATTGGAGATAGCAAGATATCTCCAATAAAAACACACTTGAAAACCTTACCACTTGCAGCCACCGACGACGAATGGATCAGTACAGATACTCTGAGATTGCAACGAGGGTAAATTCTTTATCACCCAAGTGATCTTTGTAGATTCCTTTGGAATCCGAATTCCACTGTTCGTCGGCTACTTAACTTGGTAGCTGTGATAAAACAATGCAACCATGTCCATGTGATAAACCAATAAATCAAACCTAAGATTCCAACTGAAACCCTAAGTGACTAAGATTCTCGTTCAAAGTTTACATAGTATACGAAATCACAAGCTTAAAAGAACACCTGTCTATACGTTGACCGGGTGAGTGTAAGCTAATGAAGTGGCGGACGATGGCGATGGCGCCGGAGGTGAGTGGCGTCTGACGAGCTGTGGAAGATTGAAGCTTGTTGAATGTACGCACTGGAGTGCTGAACTGGCGGACGCCGGTGGTAATAGACCTAGAGGTGGTGGTGGCGGTGGCGCCGGCCAATATTAGAGGTATAGCTGCGTAAAGTGGACGGAGATAGTTAAGGGACGTAATGGCGGTGAGACCGCCGGAGCTTGAACATGCGATTTGGTTCATCTTGTAACAGAAAAATGATGTATGCAAGCTTTAATTTATAGGCTTTAACACATAAAGATAAATTTTAAGAATTAATAACAATTTTCAAAAATACATTTTTCCTAATTTTAATATATTTGAGTTCACTAATCCTTGACTAGGGTTTAGATTTTGGGTTTAGAGTTTAGATTTAAGGGTTCAAGATTAGATTTTAGGGTTTATGATTTATATTTTAGAATTTAGAGTTATTTTAATCAATGAGAAAATGTAATTTTGAAAATGGAGATATATTTTTGAAAATTGACACCTAAAAACATGTAGGCTCTAACTGGTGACCTGTAAAGGAACAAAAGGAATGGAATGAAGAGGAATAAAATATATGGAACTTATTCCTCTTTATATTTTATAAGGAATATTTTAAGACTATAATTCCCTAATTAATATGGAATGATAGGAAATAATATGGAATATACATTCCCTATAAATGGTGTAATTTTGAAGGAATGAAGGGAAATGGTCTTATTCCCCCTCATTCCTTGGTCACCAGTTACAGCCGTAGTTTTGAAATTTCTCCTTGATATAATCTTATTTAATTAATAATTAGTATAACTGTTTTGGAAATTATCCATTGCTTTTTCAGCAAGTAAGCTAACTTAAACTATTTGTTCACCGAAACAAGGGACTCTGATGCAAGAAGAGTAAAATACTATAAATTTGGTGCCAAGACAACCAAAGCATCAAAACAACACAATCGAACGAGACAGAAAAATTGGCGGCGAACACATCTGGTTCTTGATCTTGAGAGAGTACTTGTTAAAACCTAACCTAAGAATCAACACATCTGGTTCGTTTGGTTTTTAATACTTTTTTTCGGTTCGTTTGGGTCTTGTTTAAACAGGGTCCAATGTACTTGGTCCGTCTTATTCCATTTGTTTTTTTCATCCTTTTTTGTTTCCAGGTCTACTATTCAAGCTTAACTCAATAGCTGAAAATGTTAAAAACATATTTTTTCAGAGTACATAGTGATCTAGGACTAGGATAGATGTTAACATCGGAAGACATCCAAAAATTTATATATCATTAAATCATCGCATGGAAATGCTCTGAGAAATGTCACTATATTTTCATGTATGTTAGGTGACGTGTGTCCTCAACCGCCCAATGCCTAACAAAACTACAGTTCAAGTATTTAGACACAGAAAAGTGACTTAGTCAGCAAGTAACTTAGCTTTGAAACAATTTGTTCACCGAAACCAAGGGGCAAACCTTAAGAGCTTCTTCGATACTTTATTCATAAGTAACATCTAAGAGAAGAATTAAAAAATCTCTACCGAAAACGAACTAGATGAAACAAGGAAAGCTAAAATAAAAAATACTTGCAAACGAGAAATAGCAGAACACCAAGTAGAACAAAACCTTCCAAGACCCTAATTAAAAAGGCAAGGACACTAAACAAGATAATCGAATGAGAAAGGATGTTTTGTAGCCGACATCTTTGCTTTCTCCTTCTGTACCAGAGCTTCCATGTCTGAACACTTCATCTTCAAGCTCTTCAACTCTTTCTCCATTTCTTGCAGCTGAGTCTCACAAACCTTCTCTTTCTCCTTGATTTCACACAACTCATCAAGTTTTTTCTGCAACCAATCCAACTTAAATCCTGCATCTGTCATGTACTTAAGAGCAGCATGGGCACTCGTCATATCATCTTTAGAGAGCTCCTGAGGCGACTGGCACATAGTCTCAATAAGACTGAGCAGAAAACTCAAGTAACCTGTCCTAAGTGTTGGATTCGTTGCACGGAGTTCAGATGCAATCTCTGGGTGTCTTTCAAACACTCTGCTCACAGTTTCTGCCTGCGGTTGAAAATTACAAAACAAAGCATGTCAAAGATCGTTGTTCTTGGAAACAACACAAAACCTAACTAAACACATCCTAATATTGTCTGAACATTAACATTATTGATTTCTTACCTGAGAAGAAAGAAGTTGAAACCCTTTAACATTCTTGGTTTCCGTCACTGTTGACGTTGTAGTTTCTTCAGTTACATCTAATTCGCCAATAGCTTCAAGAAAATCTATCTTGGCAACAATCTTGAGCTCCCCGTTAACCAGAAATCCGTTTTCTTCGGCCACAAGTTTGTCAAAGGGGAGGATGGATATATGACCCCTGTAGTAAACCTTGTCATCAAACCAAACTTTTACATCTGCAAAACCACAGAAACAGAATTCGTCTTATAAAAAAAACTACATCGACTATGATTGTTTTTTGTGTCATTAAAGATAATTTGGGAAGGACACTCATGCAAAGGACATCAGTGGGGAGAAATAAATCACCATCCAGTTGTATATTTTTATCCGGATTTTGATTTAGTATTGTTAGGAGACATTGTGCGTGTCTCCTCCATCCATGTGGCAATGATTCAGAATCGTGGACTTCCAGAAACAGAGACAAGTGATTGTCATAGTTGTAGCCCTTGGGATAGGCTTCAAGAAACCTATAAGAAACAAGAAGTGAAGGATAAGCAAAGCTATGGACTGTTATTGGACGAACACACACTTGAAAACCTTACCACTTGCAGCCACCGACGACGAATGTATCAGAATAAATACTCTCAGATTGCGACGAGGAGAAATTCTTTATCACCCATGTGATCTTTGTAGATTCCTTTGGAATCCGGATTCCACTGTTCGTCGGCGACTTATTTTGGTAGCTGTGATAAAACAATGTGATAAACCAATCAGTCAAACCTAAGATTCCTACTGAAACCCTAAGTGACTTAGATTCTCGTTCAAAGTTTACACAGCGTATACGAAATCATAAGCTTAAAAGAAAACCTGTCTAAAGGATGATCGGGTGGCTGTGAGCTACTGAAGTGACGGACGATGGCGATGGCGCCGGAGGTGAGTGGCGTCTGACGAGCTGCGGAAGATTGAAGCTTGTTGAATGTACGCACTGGAGTGCTGAACTGGCGGACGCCGGTGGTAATAGACCTAGAGGCGGTGGTGCCGGCCAATATTAGAGGCAGAGCTGCGTAAAGTGGACGGAGATAGTTAAGGGACTTAATGGCGGTGAGACCGGCTGAGCTTGAACAGGCGATTTGGTTCATCTTGTAATTGTAACTGGAAAGAAATAACAGAAAAGTAACTTAGAACACAAGCTTTATATAATAACTAGGTTGGACCTGCTGCGCCCTACACCGGGGGATGGTTTTTAAATTTGTATTTCCATTTTAAAAATGTCTATTTACCTATTTTGACAGATTTGTTTGGTTCTTATTTTCGTTTATAGGTCTATAAATTAAACATCTTAAACCATTTTTAATTAATTAGAATAATTGTTTTGGAAATTATCCATTTCTTTTTCTGCAAGTAAGCTAACTTAAACTATTTGTTCACCGAAACCTAAGGACTCTGATACAAGAAGAGTAAATTACTATAAATTTTGGTGCGAAGACACAACCAAAGCATCAAAACAACATAATCGAACGAGAGAGGAAAATTGGCGGCAAACACATCTAGTTCTTGATCTTGAGAGAGTATTTGTTAGTACCTACCCAAGAATCAACACATCTAGTTCTTGATCTTGAACGTTTGGTTTTTAATACTTTTTTCAGTTCGTTTGGGTTTTGTTTAAACAGGGTCCAATGTACTTGGTCCGTCTTATTCCGTTTGTTTTTTTCATCCTTTTTTGTTTCCAGGTCTACTATTCAAGCTTAACTCAATACCTGAAAATGCTAAAAACATATTTTCAGAGTGTGATCTAGGATAGGTGATAATATCGAAAGACATCCAAAAATTTATATATCGTTAAATCATCGCATGGAGATGCTCTGAGAAATGTCACTCTATGTTCATGTATGTTAGGTGACGTGTCTCCTCAACCGCACAATGCCTAACAAAAGTACAATTCAAGTATTTAGACACAGAGAATTGACTTAATTAGTCAGCAAGTAACTTGGCTTTAAAACCATTTGTTCACCGAAACTAAGGGGTAAACCCTACGAGCTTCTTTGATACTTTATTCATAAGTGACATCAAAGAGAAGAATTAAAAAAGTCTCTACCAAAAATCGAATTAGATGAAACAAGGAAAGCTAAAAGAAAACGAAAAATACTTGCAAACGAAAAATAGCAGAACGTACACCAAGAAGAACAAAACCCCCAAGTCCCTAATTAAGAACGCAAGAAAACTAAAAAAGATCATCGAATGAGAGAGGATGTTTTGTAGCAGACATCTTTGCTTTCTCCTTCTGTACCAAAGCTTCCATGTCTGAACACTTCATCTTCAAGCTCTTAAGCTCGTTCTCCATTTCTTGCACCTGAGTCTTCTCTTTCTCCTTCATTTCCCACAACTCATCAAGTTTTTTCCGCAACCAATCCAACTTAAATCCTGCATCTGTCATGGACTTAAGAGCAGCATACGCACTCGTCATATCATCTTTAGAGAGCTTATCAGGTGACTGGCACACAGTATCAATAAGACTGAGCAGAAAACTCAAGTAACCTGTCCTAAGTGTTGGGTTCGTTGCACGGAATTCATATGCAATCTCCGGGTGTCTTTCAAACACTCGGCTAATTAGTTCTGCCTGCGATTGAAAGATACAAAACATGACATATCAAAGATCGTCGTTCTTGGAAACAACACAAAAGCACCATATATTATATTTTAGAACAACATCATATTATCTACAGAAGAAGTTGATTAACATTATTGATTTCTTACCTGAGAAGGAAGAAGTTGATGCCATTCAACATTCTTGGTCTCCGTCACTGTTGATGTTGTAGTTTCTTCAGTTACATCTAATTCGCCAGTAGCTTGAAAAACATCTATCTTGGCAACAATTCTGAGCTCCCCGTTAACCAGAAATCCGCTATCTTCAGCCACAAGTTTCTCAAGGGGAAGGATGGATGTATGACCCCAGGAGTGAGCCTTCTCACGAAACCAAGCTTTTCTTACTGTAAAACCACAAACACAGTCTTATAATTTGGGACAGATATTCATGCAAAAGGACATCAGTGGGGAGAAATAAATCACGTACCATCATCCTGTTGCCAATTTTTATCCGGATCTTGATTTAGTATTGTTAGGAGATATCCTGCATGTCTCCTCCATCCAGGTGGCAATGATTCATAATCGTGGGCTGCCAGTAACAGAGACAAGTGATTATCATCCTTATATCCCTTGGGAGAAGCTTCAAGAGACCTATAAGAAACACGAAATAAAGGATAAGCACGCACAGCTATATGGATTGTTATAATTTAACCAAAACACACTTTGAAAACCTTACCACTTGCAGCCACCGACGACGAATGGATCAGAATGAATACTCTCAGATTGAAACGAGGAGAAATTCTTAATCACCCAAGTGATCTTCTTCGATTCCTTTGGAATCAAATCAGCGTTGCCATAAAATCTTCGAATACCTGGAAAAGGAAAAAGTAGTCTTCCTTAAATCTTTTGAATATTGGATTTTTTTGTTTTTTTTTAACATTTTATTAAGCCATGATTTTAGTCATTCCGAAAAACGGTTACAAGCAACGATAAAGTTTAGAGTACAAATGATTAGCTAGATAATATCAAATCTTCAGCTTCTAGATATTGGAAAATTAGTTTTCTTAAAAAAGTTGAATCATCCAAATATACTTAGAGAGATAAATACTATCTATCAAAAGCTCGGGTGACTGTGAGCTACTGAAGTGACGGACGATGGCGATGGCGCCGGAGGTTAGTGGCGTCTGACGAGCTGCGGAAGATTGAAGCTTGTTGAATGTACGGACTGGAGTGCTGAAATGGCGGACGCCGGTGGTAATAGACCTAGAGGTGGTGGTAGCGGTGGCGCCGGCTAATATTAGAGGCAGAGCTGCGTAAAGTGGACGGAGATAGTTAAGGGACGTAATGGCGGTGAGACGGGCGGAGCTTGAACATACGATTTGGCTCATTTTGTAATTGTAATCGGGAAGAAATAACAGAAAAATAATGTGGACACAAGCTCTAATTTATAGGCTTTGTATATAATATAATAATCTTATTTAATTAGTTAGTATAATTTTCGTTGGAGTCATCCATATATTCATTCACCATACTGTACTTATCCAAGGCGATTGCTTTTCAGCAAGTAGGTTAACATAAAACTATTTGTTCACCGAAACCAAGGGTTCGGCTAGAGTCAGATAATATTTTTAAAATAATAAATATAATGTAATATATTTGCTCTATGAATATATATATATATATATATGCTATTTGTATAGTATTAAAATATATGAATAACTTCTATAATATCAAACAAACCATTGCAAAGATCATAATGTTTTAAAATATTTTAAAAAATAACAAATTCAAAATGTAACAATTATTAGAGAAAATAGAAAATTTAATTTTTAATTAGAAAATTTGGTATAGTTAGCTCAGTCGATCACCGATTTTTGGTATTTTGTTGGTGGGATCCGAATTGTTAAGCGGTCTAACTATCTATGAATTTTAGGAATAATTCAACCAGATATACTTCAGGTTCATGGTTGTACGTGGTCCAACCACCGATCCGGTTCGGTTTTGAAAACACTGTTATTCATCTATGAATATGGTGCAAAGACACAACCAAAGCATCAAACAACATCCCTTTAACGCACTACTCAAGATTAGGCATTTGGCTTGATCAAAAGTAGAGTAGGACATAGGAGAACTATAATTCAATTCAGTTGTAGAAATTATAGGGTATACCATTCTTAAAAACCATTATCCAATTGTAGAAATCTTTAAGCATCATTGGTTCGTTGATTCGTTCCTTCTTCATTGATGATGGAAGGAAGTGAGATCAATGCCACCTCTTTGGGCCTACTCTTTCGTTTAATTTGCTTCTTCAATGTTTACTAATCTGGTTTAGTGCCCAAAAAATACTATCAAAATACATCTTCAATATTTTCTTTATATTGATTTATAAATTCACTGATAAGATGGGTATTCTAAATCTGCGTGCTCCATCTTGAGGGGACGAGAGAATATTTTGTAAAAATATTTTTGTACATTTTGATCATTTTACCTTTCGTCTTTTGTAACTAGGTTTTTTTTGCAAAAGTCTTTTGTAACTAGGTTAGGCTAAACGCTTTGTTAAAATAGAAATATTTATTGCATCGGATGACTATTATATAAAACCTTCGAAATCATGTTTCTTTGACAAGTTTACATTAGAATCATAGAGGTAACAAGGAGAATCGATTTCGGCGTAGTAAAGAGTGAAAGTGAAAGTCTTTTAAATGCGTAGTAGTTTTTTTTGGTTTGTGTAAACAGAGTCCAATTTATATGATGGTCCGTCTTATTTCCATTTGTTTTTTAATACTTTTTTGTCGGTTCGTTTTGGTTTTGTTTAAACAGGGTCCAATGTACTTGGTCCGTCATATTCCATTTGTTTTTTTCATCCTTTTTTTTGTTTCCAGGTCTACTATTGAAGCTTAATTATTTGGACGAGTAAATTTTCGTGAAAACGATACCATTTCTTCTTGAACAAATCAGATGTGAAAGAGAAAACGATACTATGTGTATATCATTAAATCATCTCGTAAAGAAGACGGAAGAAGAAGAAGAAGAAGAAGAAGAAAGAGACAAGGAATTTTGTATTTGTACAAACTATATATTAATTAATTAATTAACTAAAATTACAAGAACACAGAAAAACATATGATCTAAAAAAACTCAAACAGTTGTAACCTTCAGAAGATGAGTCCCACTGGTTTGAATCTGCAAACTCCGAAGTTGACAACCACCACCACCAGATCTCCTCTTCCATAGATTCTCAGCCGCTTTTTCTTCGCCGCAGCCACCGTCGTTCTTCTTCTTAACCACCGGCAAAGGCGGATCCAAATCAGCAACGTCGATTACACCAATCTTTTTGTTATTAAGCTCCTCCTTTTTGATTCTTCCTCGACAACTCCTAGTGGTGGTCGTTGTTGGAGCGGAGAAACTGAGATTCTTGCCGGAGAAAAGGCGCTTGAGCTTGAAGTAACGGTGGTGAGCTGCGGGAGTGATGGAGGAGGAAGAGGTGGTGGTGGGAAAGCCCACGATCTTGTTGCTGCGTTTGACTTGACCAATGCAGCTGATCTTGGGAGACAAAGGATCGGTTTTATGGTCTTCTTGATTTGATTTAGCCGGGAGGATCACGTTCTTGATTGAAGGTCTAGAACATAACATTGGTAAGAAAGTAGGTCTTTGGAAGTGAATACTGCTCTGTCTCGTCTCCATCATCTTGAATTTGATCTTCTAAGAGACAAGAGAGATTAAACTTGTTTCTCTATGAACTTAGCTTCTCATGTGAAAGAGGGAGAGAGAAGGAGAAAGAAAAAGAGGAGAGTTGGGTTTGTGGTAGTTAGAGAGCTGCAAAGCTTTGATGGTTTAAAATAAGGAGAGATAGAGAGGGTTTGGTCAAAGTGGCTTTATTAGTAGAGAAGACGTTCATTATTTTGTGTTTCACATTCACTTCCAGCAATTTGGTTTCTTCCCAAACTGGTAGAATATATTTCTTCTCTGTTTTACATACTAAGAGGCTCTTTAATAACAAAAATATATATATATATATATATATATATATATTTCTGAAGTAATAGTTGCTTTTAAAATAATTGAGATTTGGCTTGTAGGTAGGGAATGAAATAATTGAGAACATTGTCATTTTAAAACAAATATAAAAAGTATTCATAATAAACTCATATGCTTGCTAAAATCTTACTTTAGTTCATAGTTGAAGTAATTATTTTTCATATTTTTATTTAGCATTAAAGACATCACTTAGGGTTTTCAATGCTTTTTATTTCTTTCTTCTTGAAGAAAATAATAACGCTGTTCATTTATTAATTAAACTTTTGTACTTAAACACCCATCAGTTTCACTTTATTTCATTCTAATTTAATTTATAACTTAATTTAGTTCACTAAAAAAGAAGAAAAGTTATTATAGTTATTTTTTCGTTATATAATACTCCTGTATTTTTTAGCTATATATACAACTGTATTGTAATATATTAATATATTGTGTACTATTTACCATGTCATCATAATGAAAAAAGTGTACCACCCTACCAGATGTAAGCATCAGTTTCAAATTTTGCACGAGGAAATGGGACAATGCTTAAATGGACACATTGACACTCTTCTGACCTACAAATACAAGGTTTGAAAAAATTTCCACAAAAAAAGCTTTGGAATAACTATGATCAACGAAAGCTAAATGTAATTGGTTACTTTTTTTGAGCCGCGCTTACCCCTCGCGTGAATAGATACCATCATTTTTATGCCTACATTTATTGAGCCTGTAAATAACATATTAAATTGTTTTATCATAAAGATTGAATTAAACTTTTTCTTGGTCGGAGGATTTAAATAATTTAACTTGTAAAAGGGTGGCCTAACGATAAAGGTTCCAAAACTTGTAGTTCTATATCTTTTCACGAGAAAGGTCCAAAACTGATGGTAAAAATTTATTGGTGAATTTGCTCAATAGCTATATTGAGGACCAATATTAAGAATATAGCTATAGTAAGTTTGATAATAAAAAACTAATAAAGAGAAATTATTGTGGACAAAACTGTCCTTCTAACTAGCTAAGTTATGTTTTGTTCCATAGAGAAAAGCAAAATAGACCACCATAGAGTTTAGAATTTCTGCAATCTGGTGAAGAGTAAACAACTATGAAAGGATGTGTTCCATGGATCAAAGCATCGTAGAGAACAACACAAATTGAATTTCCTATCAAGATCAAAGGAACATAACTAATTGATTGCAAACCATTTACAAAACCAATAAAAATTAAGATGCAACAAATCCAAACTACGATTAAACAAAATGATGAGAAGAAAGACCCAATCTTTTCAATGACGGATCCACTTTGGTTTTGAATTCGATTGCAACGATTTGATTCCGACTGAGAGGAATTGACGAGACCCGATAACATCTATGACCTGTCATCCTCTTCCCTTCGTCGCTGCTGTCGTCGGATTTGAGCGAATATAAACTCGCAAATTAGGGTTCGGCAAGCCACTTAGTGAGGGAAGAAGAAATAAAGAAACAATGGCCATGGAAGAAAAAATCATAGAAATTCTAAACCCATAAAAGAAAAAAGTCACAGATACGCTAGAGAGGAGAAGAAGAAGATACAGGAGGAGGAGAAAAAAAAAATACACGTGAGTTGTTTGATTTTTTTTTATCAAGGGTATTTTCAGTAATAATACATATTATACACAAAATACTCTAACCATTCATTTGTAATGGTCAGATCCTTAATTTTGACTTTTTTAATGGCTATTGGGTGCTATTTCCCTTTAATGAATACTCCTTCCGTTTTTTTAAGATGAATTTTTTAGAGTTTTCACACATATTAAGAAAAAGTTGATTTTCAATCATTAATGTATAGATTTTGGCAATAAAACAACTTTCTATAAACTTAGACCAATAAAAATCTAACAAATTCAATTATTGTTTCTTGAAAACTGAAAAGTACTTCAAAAAGCTAAAAATTTTATCTTTGTGAAACAACAAAAAATGTCCAGAAAATTCATCTTAAAAAAACGGAGGGAGTATGTACTAATGTCTACTGTCTTTGTCCCCTTCTTCCTCTACAGTTCACTCTACTTGTTCATTTTCTAATCACTGTTGAATTATTTGGATCTGTGGGAAACTTTTGTTTATTATAGCCGCTTAAAATCATGTTTGGTTGGTTCTCATGTTTAATGGAAATTGGCGAATCTATAAGTCTTATTTTTCTCTATTTATTATCAAACATTTCAACTTAACATTCCAGATGGTCAAAATGCATAATTCTTATGAAGTTGAAAAGAAGAAGCATAATTATGAAGTTTTGTTTCTTACGTTAAATATAACATCTTAGCAGTCATTTTTCTTCCTTTTTTTGTACTCCTCATCAGTGTTTAATTAAGAGACGTACATATTGTAGTATAATAATTTAAATTCCAATTTTTATTACAAAGGAGGCATATGGTCATCACTTAGGAGAGACTTACATGTTACAAGCAAATTATAAATATTCGCTGGATCTCTGTTGCACCGATAAAAGGACTTTGGACTTTAACACAAATTATTTATAAAAATAAACATCACAGATCTGACGCACTAACAAAACAAATAATCTTACTCCCAAACAATGATTTGCAACAATGAACTACATCGTCTGGAAGGAAATTAATATTTTATTACTTCAATAAAAAATGTTTGCTTTTGTTTAATATTTGTTTTGTCCTTTCATCCTTTTTTTTCATCCTCTTAAAAATAAATTTTGTTTATCATCTATGTTTGGTAAAGATAGACCCACATGAGAAACAAAGTGGATCAAATGACAGATCTATAAAGTAGCAAAAAAACAAAGTAAGAAAGTGAAGAAGGTTAGTGAAACAAAGAGGATTAGATAATGAAGATAAATCTGTCTAATAAAAAATGGGGAGATGTACACAACTCAGCCGACCGCACTGCATGTGGGTGGCACGTGAAAAGTTCATCACCCGCTATTTTCACTTTGTCGTAGTTTCCTCTGAAGTCCACACACCATTGTGACCATGTTCAAAATTTGTTTAGGTGCTAATTTGTTTTGGAGGGGATCTAGTATATAACGAAATATTCAAATATTAAACATAAATTAATTAAGGATTAATTTTGGGATTTTTAATCTAGTTGGTGGAATGCCTTTCAAGAGTTGTAAGAAGTTAAGTTCCTTCAAACTTTGCCTTAGTTGAAGTAAATTTAACGTATGTTATTTGATGATACAAAGGCAGAAGTCCAAGCAACACAAGAGATTGGACTGGCAATGATCATGCTGTTACTTGTCCAATCTAAGAATTTACCAAGGACTACAACTTGATGGACTTGACTAGAGCTTACTGGAGAGTATTTTAAAAACCAAAATATCAAAGAAATTAAATACTTAATTTCGTCAAAAACCAAAAGACTTGGGAAGGACGACAACGAGAAGTGTCCAAGATAATGATCTCAGGACTTGTGACTTGTTAGGAGTCTATATATGACTTGTCACAGAAGCAAAATAAACCCATCGCAGCTTTGCTGTTCTCAACTCTCAATATGATATACTAACAAACAAATGATTTGTGTTCAGTTAATTTGAAAAAAAAAAAAAAAAAGGATTTTAGTCCTATATCCATTATTACGAACTGAAACAACTGAATACTACCAAACCACATTAGCTGTCAACAATGTCCCATGACCCCTTCGTGCGCCCATTAAACTATTCCGTTTTATTCTTTGAATTTTAGGTTGATGGAGAACCAACTAAAACAAAACAATGCACGAGCTGTTGGGCCCAAACCAAAAGAAATTGAGATGTAAAGTTAGCAAAGACAGATCAGAAGAAGATATTAAAATGAACTTAGGAAATTGAAACTGATATAAGAAAAAAATGTGTTGTTCTTTATTGTTTAGGCACAACGTAAACATTACATTTACCAAAAAAAACGTAAACATTACACATAAAGTGTGCTCTTTTTTTTTTGTCTTTTTTTTTATTAACATGAAACTCCCGCAAGGCCTCACCACGCCTTCTCGCTTTAGAAGACTATCTCTCAAACACATAAAAATGTTCTCCAATCAGATTGAACAACTTGTTCTGTAAATTTAGCATATAAAAAGAAAAAAACCTCTAAGGAAACCTAAGAAAAACCTTGTGGATCACGAACAGCAGTCACATATTTGTCTATTTGTCTTCGACATGTCATCAAGTATAATGCGATACAGGAAAAATTATTACGGAGAAAAGATAAAAACTCAATGCTTAAGATTATATCCAAAATAAGTAAAGTTATTGAATAATAACACATTTAATAGTGTCTCCATAAGGTTGTATTAGCCCAAAGGCTTAATTGTCATTTGACATTAAGGTACTTTCCTTACGGATCTGAGGAACAATATAAGCCAACTGAGTAGTACAACTATCTGAACCAAATAAAGATTAAAACTACAATGTGACACGAATGTTTTAAAAGAGTGAAGAAACAATTTAACGAAGATAACTCCGTCTAGAATTACATGTTATGAAGGGATAAGAGAGATCATATGGGGTCAAACTAGATCGTAGCACGAATTTGGAAAGAGATTGATTGAGATTTTCCCATTACACTTTGACAAGAAAAACTATGTGGGCCAAATCAAAGTCATGATCATAGACAATCGATCGGGCTCTTGGAAAGTTAGGCTGATTCTCTTTAGCCCAAAAGGGCCCATTCCTTTCCC